CATTGGTCACGTCATTTCCTTCGTTTATGAAAGTCCTGACGTGATTCTTGCAGGTTGCAGCGAGCCTGTCTGCGGCACCTTTTCCACCCTGTGGGTCAGAAAAGTCAATGCGCTTGATTTCGATGCCGGTGGAGGAGGATATCACTGGGCATGAGAGTACGGTGGACGACGAATGATAACATCCTGCGTTATCTTGGCGAAAGAACGCCTTGTTAATCTCACTGTGCTCCAGCTTGATGGTATTCAGGACATCCTGCATGATTTTAACCACTGCAGCACTGCCTTGATTGCACGACTGGACTATGTGCAGAAAGCCCTGCCACTGGAGTACCCCGCTCACACGACGGTAGACGACAGAAACGTGCCAGGAGATACCTCGCTTACCAAACCAGTCGGTTTGGGACTCTCTGTATTTTTGTGGCAGGAACTTCATGGCCCAGTCGTTAATTATCAAGACAGTGTTGTCGTCAAGTTTCTCCAGTGCATCTATTCTCGCTTGGTCTTGGTTAGCTGATCTAAGGATGTGGCATTTCCAGGACATTATGGCCAGCTGGGCTGTCTGGAATATAAATAGCGCTTCGTCTTTCGCGTCCTGAGTCGGAAAGGTCGTCTCGCCAAGGACCCGTTCAATCTTTGCCAGAGTTTCCTGAAGACTTTGACAACAGTCACAAAGATCAGTGTGTTGGTGACTGCATTGTTGCTGGTAATCTGCATCACTACTGTCGCTAAGAGTAAACAACACACAATGGTCTGCTACGTTAGAGGGGCTTGTGACATGAACCTGTTGATAAAACAAAACTGAGATTACTGTTTGTCTGTGCTTATACTTCAATATAATAGTTAATCAAAGGATTTTTTAATCTAACATATATTATTAACGTAAGGGGGCGAATAACTTTTAACCTTAACCTTAGGAAAAAAAAACTATCCTCGTGCGCGCATTGTTAATCTCGAGAATTTATGTAAGCTAGTTACACGTGCACCATTTAGAGAAGAAAAAGAGTACAAAATATATATTTGTTTTACGGAATGATTTTGTTGACGAGGTAAAATAATTACTTACTTTTAGTTTTATTCCAGCTGTCTTTCTGGAGTCAGAATTCACATTACCTTATAGTCCCCCTTCAAATACTGCTTGCTTGTCATAAGAGCTTGCACAACTGTAGTCTCCCACTCCTTGCCGGAACCTAATCCCCCTATTTGGCGTACGAGGGCCACGAGATCATCAAATGCGCGAGCACCTTCAGCTGCAAAATAATCTAAGCCCTGCAGTGATTTTCTTACAGAGGCACTGCACTCAAAGAGTACCCGTCTCATAGTAGTTTCGCTGAATGGTTTGAAGTTGATCTCCAAACAGTACTGAGTGTACTGTTGTATCACTCGCTCGGGTATCATCATACGGATTACGTTAGGTACTTGAATAACCTCACCAGACGAAAGCTTGAGATGTTTTTGCCCAAATGGAAGGTCCTGAACAAGATGCGGGCTCGTGATGAAACCAAGAAAGTGGTCAAGCTGCCTCAAGTCTACTCGTATTCGTGTGGTAGGCTGTTGTGGAACTTGAGCGCCTCGGCCAAACTGTGATCGATGAAGATTAGCCATGGAGTATCGGTATCTTGTTAACCCCAGGATATAACGGGAAATGTCGTTGAAAGTTCCAACCCCTGCCATAATCGAAAGCACTTGTCTACGGGTATCCCAGCTGGTTGCATTCTGGTACGCTTCTGCTAGGGCCTCTAAATACAAATGCACTGAATGTGATAACTCGCTTACACCTAGGGCCTTGTTCATAGCCGTAGAAGAGGCTAGACGTCGCCAGAGTTCACCAGCATTATCAGGGGTGACGCACTTTAGCACAGTTGCTACTATTTCTGTGGCTCTCCTTGTTTGACGTTGTCTTGTTCGCTCAGAGGAATCACTACAAGAAAGCCATGGCTTTCCAAGCGGTTCAAGTTTGCATGCTGCCAGGAACTCACTCAGCTTTTCGCGCGGCTCATGTAAGATCACAGGTGTGGGCTCGTCACTCTGAGTGGAAGCTGTGCTTATTGTGTCTGGTGACAGAAAGGTGTCATCAGCGATTGCTAGACGTCCAAGGCTTTCTGCGAACTCTTCAACAGATTGACCGGTATCACTTTGTCCTGGAGATGAGTTTGAGCTGTTCTGTAACATACAAAAAAGACGTTTAGGCATCAATGTTACTTCAATATTTCTGTTTATTTTGTCACTAGGCATTAGTTTTTTTATTATAGTTCGAAACTTAAGTTATACATCATTTTAAAAAAATAAAATACGAATTTACATGCATACCGCTATCATTATCAATACTCCCGCTCCAGCCAGACCGAAAGGAATTTAAAGAAACGAACAGTGAGCTATTCGTCTTAAAATCATTTTCAGAGTCATTTTCAAAGTTTACAGTTATTCACAGTTACCGAGCCCTTTCGGAATTTTGGCATTTGTTATGTTGGAATAACCGTCTGTATCCAAGGTTACCGTTTACTTACTTACATTTGCTTCTGAAGTCTCTAGTTCTACGCATGGAGTAACTTCAATCATTGGTGCGGGTGTCACTTTCTGTTGTTGGTTTGTCTCCGCGAAATGTTGCTTGCACATTCTGCAAAGAGCTGTAGCAAAAATAAATGTTAACCTTGTTAAAAGGCCATCGCCGATTTCTTTACTATTCTTCAAAGCCATTTCCTTCTTTGGGGGGAGGGGAACAGGAGAATAAAGGGTATTGTAACGCTTGCGCATATGTTGCTTTACGCCCTCGCTCGTTTAAAATTAAAGCGTATACTTTAGCTACAAATGTGTTACGATAAACTTACGCGATCCAACTTGAATAAGTTCATGCCGATCGCCTTTGACCGAGGCTGTTTTGTGAGCAGCTATTTCTAGTGGAATGCTACACTTCACTTTTGAGGATCTCCAGCGCACCCATGTACCCCAAATTCCGCTCTGTAGCGAGGGCATATTGTCAATGACAAGTGGGACTCTTCCACTGCAAATACCCCTAAAGAAAGGTAAAGGGAAAATTATCCATTGCATACATCACGAGCGAGTTGAGAGGCTCGTGTGCTAGGAGATCTCGAGGTCCCCTTTTTCATAAAAAAGTCCTTAAAGTCTGTGTATCAGTGACAGGTGTGTGTGCGTGGGTGGCGGAGCGGGGGGGGGGGGTGGGGGTGGTGAATAAAGTTTTTTTTTGCTATCGTAGGCGTTAATATTAGGTTTGCAAAATATTAACGCCGCGGATAAAAGCCTGCGATTTTTAAAGAGATGAACTCGTTTGCTTATCGTTCTTGCAAGCAGGATACAAAAGAGCGGTACGCAAGTACTGGGGACAATAATTTTGTCAAATGGAAGGGGACATTTCGGTTCGACCGACCGAAATAGCCTGTTTCGGTATTCGTTATACTAGACGGGAATAATTTAATTAAAAATAATATCGTGGAGGCACGTGCAATAGTAAGTGGCGAAACAGTTCGTGACAATATATAAATTTTATTCCAGGAGCATTTGACCTGGAAATGTTTTATTAATATTGTTCCTAGAGTCGAATATTTCTACACTGATGATCTATAAACAGACGTACGGTTGTACATTTTTTCATTGGGACAGCTGTAATTGCTTCTTTGTCTGTTTACATTGTGTACGAAGTATAGCACGTACCGTCATATGCGACAAGCTAGCGTGACCAATCTCTGCACGTTTGCTAAATTACACGTCATATGATCTTGTTATCCCGTCTAGTATCTGATTTGTTCGCTCAATAAGAATAATACTCACCTTGTTAACTGTGTGGTTTGAGCAGTGGTTAATTTCCATCATTGTATGTTATTTTCGGACCAAAACATAATCGGGTTTCATTATTATTAAAGCGTCTGATAATGCGTAATAAGCGCTGCGTGGGAAGTGTTTAGATAGCTCAAGCGCTGAAGTTGCTGGACACATTTTGGTCAAAATCAGGTATGGATGAGTTGCCACTTCACAGGACAAACAGATTGAGAGATGGATTTAACTTCTATCGCAACAAGCAATGGTAAGTTGTTCGTTCAACAAAACTTTGCGTTAAAAATATGAATTCATTCAGCGGGCCGTCTAATTTGCATAAATTTTATTTACTCAGATACTCAAATTGCTTACTTTAGTGTGAGGACTATATTGGATTTCCAGAGCTAAAACTTTCCAGTAATTTAGTTCAATAGCCAAGGTTTTATTCTATATGGGTTTTACTAGGAAACGGCATATACCAGTGGCCTTTTACAACAGTTAAAGTTCGCCTTCATTTATTAACATTTCCAGGGATACAAATTTGACCTTTTTAAACTTGTCGATTGTAAAAAATGTTAAAAACTTCTTTCTTCAAATTTCTTTCAGGAAATTAAAGAGAAAGTACGAAATAATACTCGGCTGAAGTTTCGATGTTAGGGATTGTTTCTTATGCGTTCACCGTTTTCTCGAAGTTGCGGTCGAATTTTGTTCTTTTGAGTACGAAAAACCAGCAAAAAATCGATTTTTCAAACTTTTTGTAATTTCTCCCGTACAATGAATCGCTTGAACCCAAAATTACTTTTTCTTCAATAAGGTTACTAAAAGGGATGTTTTGGCGAGAGGAAAAAAAATTCGTTTTTTTCACGAGTGTCATGCGATTTTCGATTTTCTCGGAAAATGGCTCTTAAGCTTCACAATGCAATGACGTAGCGTGAGACTGAAAAGGTGAAACTAAGAGACCGAAACGAACGCGAGTCACCTAAAAACACGCATTTTCATTGCTTAGCAAATGGGGAAATAAAGAAAAAGACCATATTACTATAGCCAACAGAGCTTCGTCGCAACTAATTCTTCTCTCAAATTGCATTGTATGCCGGCTTCCCAGACTTAGAGAATAACCATATTTATAGCAAATGTCACACTTAGATCGCCCGCGGCGTTCAACGAATAAACTATTCTTTGTCGAAGCAACCCACTTGAAACAGCTCGGAGGCTTTCAAATTTCAGTCGTTTTAATAAACACCATCATAACATTACCTTTAGATTTATGTGCCTCTTTTGAAGTCTTTAGCTAATTCGACTTCTTATTTTACGATCTTATGACTATAATTTTCATAACATCATTAAAGGATGGTAACGTCACAGTTTTAATCATTTACATCCCATTCCTAGCCATGTTTTTTCCTTCTTGCTACACTATTGCCTCCCAATGATTTTCTAACAGAACTAATATTTTTTCGTTCCCGATCGAGTTGACAGAAAGTTTGCCAAATCAGGAGAAGCATCTCTCCGTAACCCTTTCACCCCTGGAGAAGCTTTAGATTTTTTAACAAATTCTCCTCTTCAGTGCCTTAGGCAATGTATTGGGAACAGTATGGAGAATATGCATACTGATATTAGGGTGTAAAAGGGTTCAGTTTATAATCGCACGCGTGTCTTCACGTGTAATTTTGGTTATGCAAGCGAGACACGTCTTCTATTTTCCCTCCCATCGAAAAAAACCCTAAGTATCAAACCAATGAAAAGTAATATTCGTTGCTACAGCTGTGTTAGCATATTGACTCTATGAATTCAATAGCTCTCTCGGAAACAAAAGATTTCCTTCGCCGTCTACTCTAATTCTGTTTGTCTTTACAAGTATAACAAAAGAGCGGGCGGGGAAGATACCTGGAGCATTTCCGGAAAAATACAGTTATTAAATATATTCGTTTCGCGGCATCCTGGCACCCTGCACGTGACACCGCAACAAGAGTTACGTAACATGAAAAACACTGGCCTATAATTAAAAAAAAAGATAAAAATAATAAAAAAAGGAAAAAAATGAAGCAAAATTAAAGACAAAATAGAGTAAAAGAGAACAGATCCTGCCATTTGTAGAAAACTAGGTCTCTGCCTTCTCCACCTAATTTTTTTGAATTAGCGACCCGCCGCCATTTTGTCAGTAGGGAATAAATTTGCTACATTCAGCTTCCATAGTCTATAGTTGTTTGTGCTATCATAGAGTACACAGATGTTGTGTTTTTGATTTAGTTCGGGTAAAGGACAAACTGAGGTAATTGGAGAGTTTGAAAAGGTACCGCTTTGGCCGATGTCAGCTTTGCCGGGCGAATGAGGTAAATATATTTCCGCTCTCTCTTTTAACGGTTCGGTAGATCCGTGGGAATAATTTATCTTCGGAAAAGCACTAGCGCACTTCAGTTTCCTTCGGTACGACTTTTAATTCACTTTGAGCTTTCCTTGGAAAACGTAGATCTTTCCAAATAAATCCCACATCTTGTGGATTACATGTAAGCTTGCTTCTCAAAGAGTTCTGGCGTCCTTACCATTCCTTTTCTATCTCGTCACACTGTTTCTGTCACTGTAAGTTTTCTTCTGACACTGGCGGAGCGTTTATTTTCGGAAGGTCTCCTTACACTGTATATGAGTGTGCAGGCCATGGCAATTTCAACAAGGCGAGCACAGGTTTGAAAAGTCCACCACATCCACGCATCAGGCTCCTGAATCTTAGCATAGAATTTGTAAACACTGACCAGCGAATATAATTGTAAAATGCTGCTCGCGATTCCTAAGATGCTTGTACCAATTGTGACTTTTGCAACTTTGGATGTATTCGCTCTGTTCTGTAGTTGCAGGCGTTTCTCGACATTTCTCACTTGATGTATAACTTTGAACCCACTGTAGATAAAGCTGGCGGAAAGAAGAAATCCCCAAACAATAATAAAAACTTGGCAAATGAGTAATAAAATGATAATATCGGCGTCCACTGCCGAGGCAATATCTCCAGCAAGGACTAAGGCAAAGTGAAACGTTATGATTGAACCGAGTAAGTAAATATTCTGCAACTTGTTCGGCACCAACTGCAATTTTGAAACTTCAAGAAAAGCCAAAAAGATCAAACTGAAAGACGAGGTCAGGCAAGGGAAAGCGATGTTAAAAAGGAATTGTAAAAACCATAATGGAACCTCGATACCATTCTGCTGTGATCCATAGGGATCTATCAAAAGGTAAGAAGCCCGCGTGACACCGAAAAACAACAACAAAGAGTTCACAGCGATCACGAAGGGCTTTCGTCCAAATCCTCTTTTCTTTCTGGCTTGGATCAAGGAAAAGAGAGAAAAAACTGCTAAGATACTGAATGCAAGACCAAATCCAATCCAGTGTAACTCCCATGCTATTCCCCAATGTTTCCTTCCTTTACGCCAATCAGGCGTAGGCTCAGACTGTAACATGTCGTCAACTGCACGCGTTGGCTCAGCCATCTTTGAATAGTTTTCGATTTTCCTTTGGTGATGGTGAGGCATTTTCTCATTTAATTCAGTACCAGAGGCGTTCACTTTCTTCGTCAAATGCTACGGACAGTTTTCCTTTTGCGTGTTAAAGTTTCCGGCTGTTGCTATTATCGGCGCATTACTCGTCTCAAAATGACAAGTCATTGTGGTTTGCTGCTATATTGGTGATTACAGATAATTTATTATATCGTACGAGTTTTTTATGCGTTCTATCGCTATGGCTACAAAGAAATACAATCAACTTTGACAGGAACACTGAAAAACCATATCAAGCAACCCAACCAAACACAAAAACCACAAAAATGGGAGAAAACAGATAATCGCGAATGACGAGCCATCCTTCTAGTTCCGGTTCATCGGTTCCGTTTTCAACTCCAACCCTTAAACAGACGTAATAAATCTAACTTAGTGACGTGTTAGGATATATGGGACCGTTGGATGTTTTTGATAAAAACTCTTTAAATATCTTTACATGCAAGCGCAAACAAAAACCTCTTTAAACAATTGAAGTGGCCCTTACAGACATGATTTTAATGCCTTAGGGAAAATTTAAGTGAGCCTTCCATTTCGACTCAAAAAAGTTTCATCGATGGATCACTAAAGAGATAAAAAATCCCATCAAGGCGCTGTTATGACACATATTATCGTGACGATGCAACGAATTATGTTTAAGAAAAAAAAATTATTGCCGAGTTTAAAATAGACACGATTCCAAATTAAAATGACATATGATTTAATTTTCACTTAACTCGAGCTAAAATGACACGACAAATTTACCAAAGGTAAAATTTACTATAAAATGATACCTGTCGGATGAAGTTCTGCAGAAGTCGATATAAAATACAATCTTCAACACATAATTGAACTTTATTTCAGACAGCTTGAAATCAAACTGTTTTTCTCTTCACAACCTGCCTACGTTTGTGGGAAATTTACACATGTGCATATACAGTCCTTGGATCAATATCAGTATCTGGGCAACTGCCCACCCACCCCTCCCCTAATTCAACAACAGTCAATTGCCAAGTTGAGGATAATGTTGGGTTAGGGGAGGGGTAGGTGGACAGTTGCCCAGATACTGATATTGATCCCAGTCCTTCAACTCCTTGTTTTTACAACTATACCATAATTTTTCTTTATTTTTGCGATATCAGGTGGTATTTTCGTTTATAGAAACTAATCAAAGTATCTAGGATTTCAGGTTTATCAATAATAGAATAACTTTGCAAACCCTCACCCGGAATTGCCATCTTGAACTCAGTCAATGTCAATCAAAGTAATGCATCTCAACTGTGATTGGACAAATATAGAGTAATGTGTTGGTAACTAGGAAAAGAAGCTTTCGTATCAAAGCCAAACGTATGATTTCTGTCGAAGTTCGGACAGGAATAACAATTAACTGCTCGGCCTCAGATATAAGGCTGTAAAGTGTGCGGTCACCGAAGGCACCTATTAACCTATTGCTTCTATCAGACCTTGGACAGATACATGTACATGTAACGGAGAAATTCTCGAGCAACATTCAAAGTACAGACGTCAAACCGTTAGGCGGAACACATTTTTTTCAACTTTACAAGTATTCACAGAAACCTAAAAGATGTAGAATATAGGCGACTAACGAAAAACGAAAGACTGGGCACGTTCCTAGCGCCAGTCTTATTTGAAGCATTACGTTACCGCTGGAAACTAAAGGGCTCACCATTACTTACAACTAGTGTGCCAAACCAGTCAATATAAAAATGAACAGGCTTCTTATGGAAACGTGAAATTTCACTCGAAAGTAAAAATCCCTCCAAACATGAACTTGTCTAACAGGAGAGTTGTAACTGATTCTAGCCAGTCAGTTGAACTACTAAAAACGGCCTAAGTGCTATCCATAATAATACCAGAATGCATAATGTCGCGCATTCACCAGCCACTGTAAACAATAATGTTCGCACGAGTTCGCTCTCCTTTCCTACCGCAGCTTTCGGCAGACGACATCTTCAGTTATAACGTTGGAAAGACAGCAAATGATGTCCCGTTTCTAACAAACTCTTGTTTAAATTTACTCAACATTAGAATGTTTAACTCTTCCGTTTTTTCTTGCGTGGAGATTCGTGTTTGCTACTAGGTTTTTTCCTCTTCTTTGATGGAGTTTCTTCTTGGCCCCTATCACGGTCGGCTGAGGAACATAAATGAAAACGAATCAGAACGGCGGACTTTGGCGCTGGTTCATTTTACCACTGTTTCATGTTACTGCGTCACTCGGGAGAACAGAAACATGTCGCAGCTTCCTGAGCATGGCTGCGTCAAAAGCCAGTTGTCAAAATTCCAAGGCTATTACCGGACTGACAACAAAACATTTTTAAGAAAAGACAAGTACAAGATAACATGCAGGAGCACCCTTACATACCATCCCGTCTTACTTGCCACCGCTCGTATCTTTTCAACAAATCAAACAAGATTGAAATTTGTACCACGGCCCTCACCAAACTAACGACCGCACACAAAAAAGGTCTAACTATGACTTCAACATTTTACTTTTCCGTGACTTCTCCGCCGCCAAATTTTTAATTTCCCTCACTCAAATTAAAATTCTCGACTTTTCTCTGACCTTGAGTTAATTTTTTTTCTAATTATTTCCATATTTGTGGCCACCACACACAGAGAAAATTCTAGTCTAAGAGGCAAAAATAGCGTGAATCAGCTGTTATCAGTTTTTCATAAAGAACCGAAGCAAAGGGCTCCGCATTATTTTGCCCACACATATCTTTCTTTATTTTGTTCTAAAACAGTTATCCACTCTTAAAAAAGCAGTCAAATCTCCTTTTCTCGCTGAGTTTCGTGCGCGAGGCCTAATTCTCATTCACGCATCAAGGTGATAAAAAAAACGTTTTCCGGTCACTCTTAAAAGCGAAAAAAAAAAATTAGGGCACTCTCTGGCACAATTTTCATATAGAAAAATCCACCATTGTGCAGTTTTTTTTACATGTCAAAAGAAGTCTTGCCTCCGCAGGAGAAAGTCACATGATATATTTGCCTGAGGTTACCAGAAACTTTATTCCCACGCCTAACCTTTGATACACTAAACGTTTATTTTTTAAACGACTGCGAAACGTATTGACAATTACAAGCAACTTGAAAGCTGAAGCGGCATGGTGACAATGCAGCACAAGGAAAGTACAATATTGCAAATATCAAAGGAAACGGCTCAAGCACCATTAAAGAAAGATCTAGAGCTCACCTTTGGCCGCTTCTTCTTCAAGTTCAGACCAGTCTTTTCCGCTTTCCTCTTCGCTGCCCATCTCTTCTTCGAATTCTTAGAAAAAAAAAGGAAACATTACTCAGCATATACAGTTATTAATACAATTTACAGTAATATTGCAAGCTGATTGTGGATTTGTTAATTCGCCATTGCGATTAGCGTACCCTCACCTGTAACCGTAGTTCAACAAGATAATAGAAAAACATAAAAGAGAAGACTAACAGACTAAAAAGCTTTCCCCTTTATAACAGGACACAAGAGGATGGGGAGGTTTCTTTAATGCTGTCCAGTTATTGTAAGAAAATAAGAAAACGTCAAAATCGCTTTCCACAAGTCACGGTAAAGACCTAATCGCCCGGGGGGGTTTTGATGAGGGGTTTTAGCGATAACGAGAATGGTAAAAACTTTTACATATTTTGCAGGCCCTATCCAGCCAATTTTCACGACAGTGAGCGCCCTGAGACAAAAACAAACAAACAAAAACGAACAAAACAACGCAAACAAAAAAAAGACAACAAAAGTATCAATTGCAACAAAACCCCTTAAAAACATTTTTTCTGGTAATTTTACTCATGCTGAAGGAGCAACTGTCTTTTGCAGTTCATATGAACAATATATTTAATTAGTTCTCTGAAAACTGCCCCTTTGTCGTTAAAAAGGATGTGTTAAATACAAACAAAAGAGCACAAGCAGCATAGTTTACCAAAAACTGGATACAAAAACAAGCAGGGCGCCGTTTGGATAGCCCTTGGTCATCTGGTGGATGCTATTGCGGCAAAACTAGCCAATCAAAAATTTTTTTTCTTTCTTTGGCGTTATTTAGAAATGTGGACGCAAACAAAAAAATTGCGAGTTACACGAGATTCCTGCGCGAAAGAGCGCTCATTTACAAACGAACAAGAACTGAACAAAAACAGAACGAAGTGACGCCTCCACGTTTCCCACAAATGATCACCACGAAACGTCACACACTCCAAAATGAACACAATCAAAATACTCCAAGTGCAACATAACTGAAAATTACTTCTTAATCTTTTCGTTCCTCATACTTAATTTCCATTTTCGTGACCAAATTTAAATTTACAGAATACTTCCAACTTGTTAACAGGTAGTTGTACCCGCAGTAGAGGTTTCACGAACATCATGGATCCCCTTCACTCCTTCCCCCCTCCCCCGCCCCCCGTGAGCAGTGTCCTCACCTGAGCCGTCTTCGCTCGTCTCTGTTTCAGAAGAATACTCTTCTTGTGACGATGACTCCTCTTCCTCTGATTCTGTCGGAGCGTACTCACTTTCCGCTTCCTCCTCGCTGCCTTCTCCTTCCTCACCCTGAGGTTGAAATGCACTTACTTAAGAACAAATCAAGCCGAGGGTCCTCGCTAAGTATTTCCATAGGAGTTTGGACAATAAATAGCCGGCAACTTTGCCACTTGTCCTCCACGCCAGGGGAGTGAAACAGTGCGGGGTGGTTACTTTTGCTCGCGAGAGATATAGAAAGGATATCTAGCGGAAGTAGTGCTCGAGACTTGTGATTTTAAGGGATAAATATGTCTACACAAGCTGGATTTCTCTAACACATGATGTGTTTCCAAAGCGATGACATCTGATAGATATATTTACAACAATGTTTGGCAGAAGGAAACAAATTTAAACTTAATGCGATGAGTTATTACATTTCAATAAGACAACAATTGTTGGAAAAATCTTTCAGTAAATATTTCTGTGAAAAAGTACGCTATCTTACAAGAACCCAAGTGACTGGGGTAGACCACTTACACTGCTTTCAGGATCCAAGAAACTCCAGCCACCATTGTCGATAAACGCTTCAGGATCATCGTTGATGGTTTTCATAATCTTTGCCCAGTTTAAACTCTGGATTCCTTCAGTGTACTTAATGTCACATGAACTGCAAAGAAAACGAAGCGCACAAGAGGAAGCATTATCTTCACAGCATTTAGCTGCCACGTTTCTTCAAGGATCGGCAATCAAGCCAATCTCGCTCCCTTACTATCTTCTTCCTGAGCCCCTGGAGTGAGAAAAAGACTCTCCTTCTCTCTCGCTCCAAAGAGGCTGGGAAGGAGGTTGTCATCAAACGGTGTGTTTTCCGCGATAAAAGAATTAATAAAAAGTCGATACACAAAAACACTATACTTGATAAAACGTCTGATTACGACTGAATGGTGAATTACGTAGAATCACGCAGGACCAAAGATGAAGGAAACCCAAAGTTTAATCAACGCTCCTCTGAAATCCATTTTATAAGGGCGACTCACACTCTGGGAGTTTTCTTAGAAATAAATAACACATGCATGTGGAAATAAACTATACATGCATGTGGACGAAGTGGATACATACCGCAAGATACAGGTTATAAGCCTGTGACTCACTGGGAAACTCAGAAAACCGTGAAGACCGGGAATATTTGTGGAATGTTGTTGTGTCGAAGAAAACAATCAAATCCTAAGTGAGTAACGCGAAGTCTTCGCAGTATCTTGAATAAGCTTGTTTTTTGGTGGTTTACTTGCATACTATTATCGTTCTGTCCTTAGTGGTTACAATACGATAACGGTTTTCTGAGTTTGACCGTAAACATACCGTGCAAAGTTCTGTGTCGAAATATTGGCTAAGGAAAGCAGTATGGGAGGGGAGGGGGGTCTATAACCGGAATTTTACGTTTCAATGTTAACCCTTTGAGCCCTAAGAGAGACTAATATCTAATTTATCCTTACAATATCACCCCTGAATCACACACTAAGGTCACGAGAATAAAGAGAATGGTCACAAAGTAAAGAAGCTCTTGATTGTTGAACAAATTTTCCTTGTAAGGTGCTTAAGAAATGTATACAGAACAATACAGAACAATACAGAGAATATGCATACTGATTTTGCCGTAAAGGGTTAATTAAAGAAAACTACGGTGACGTACTTCAGCCAGTCTTTGACAGAATCCAGTGACGTCATTGGTATAGCATTTACGTGTTCCACTTTACGTTTGTAGTCTTTGAACACAAATACCATGTCAAAATTCTTCAGATGAAACTATAGCAAGGAAAAAAATAATGATCAACAAGCGGAAAAGTAAACTGAAAAATTTAAATCTCCCGTCATTGTCAACTTCACTTTCGACAAGCAGACTGGAAAGCAGAAGTATAATTTTTGAATAAAAGCACTCTTTTTGCATACCCGCCTAAAACCTCCCATTATTTTGCGTACATTTCGTGTGCGAGCGAAGAAAACTGATCGGGGCTTTCAAATGAGTGGGCCAATTCGGTGAGAACCAAGTCTCTGAATGCTACGAAGACAGCAAAGGGCAGTTCTGACAGACGTTGGCGACCCCTAATCAATATATCTGGTTAAATGGATTTACCTGCACTCGCTCGAAGTGAACAAGTTCTACTTCATCCAAAGTGATAATGAACGTTGGCTAAAGAAGAAGATATGATACGACGAGTCTTTAAGTCAGCAAAAAACACACAACAGGATTAAGAATTACATTGTGACTATTCTAAGGACTTAGAAAAGCAAAAGACAGAGCGGTCGACCGAAAACAGTCCAAATCACTGCTCTTATCAACAGCTGACGGAAGGCAGAGGACTTAAAGTTTGCTTGAAAGTACCTGCTCGGTAATGTTAACTAAACAATGTGTTGTGGGTTGGAGTAATACTGTGCTCCGAGATGGTACACCCATAAACCTGAAAGACAAAACAAACAAACGTCACCGAAGTAGTTTAAACAAATTTTAGTGTAAAAGTCTGGGTCATACCCACGGAAAAAAATTGGAGAATAAAATAATGGTTACCCTAAAAAAAGGAAAAATACGACAAAAACAAAAACAAGAACAGATAACGCGATACAACGAGACAAAAAAGCTGATACGAATGTCTCTTTATGTCTGGTAAAGTGTCAAAAGTGACTCTTGGCGTTGAATTCAATTGTGCTTTGTCCATTCCACTTACCCGAGGTCTCTGAATGGAACATCAAACTCCACTTGCCCGTGAGTTATTCCTTCTACTTTGTCAATAAAATTCTTGAACACTGATTTTAACCTTTGCCTTAACTCTCTTTCGGCCTGTGAATGCAGAACAGATTTAACACAAAAGACTTAACCACCCAATGTACTTCGAAAATTTCTAGCTTTTTAAGAAAGTCCATAAAAACCCCTAAATATAAACCTTATTGAGAGACAAGCTCATGAAAGGAAAAGTTCGCTAAGCTCGTTGAGGTTGAATTTGTTTCATTCTATTTAAGACAACAGTTACGACAACATTACCTGCTCTGCTTGAAGATCGTCCCTGTCATGCATGTGTTGGTGTTTTCCTAAGTCTGTTGTGATTTCACCGACCTGTGAAAATTAGGCAGCAGTTTAAATCATGTGCTATATGATTAGACAAATAAAAAACCAGAAAACAGATTACTGAGGACCTTGACGCCAGCCACAGCATTGTAGAGCGCTTTTCAACATGACTTTAGATCAAAACCAAAGTAATCACTGTGGCCAATCAGAGTAACGAAGAATATCACAAAAGGCCAAAGAGAACTCAGAGAACAAAAACAAAGGAAAAAAAACTGATTGAAGTGCGGAAAAAGGGACACCAAGTCGTCAATGGTTTAACCCTATAAATCTGATTGGTTCAGAAGGCAGCTCGAGTTTTCTAGACCAGTCACAGAGCAAAGTTAAGCAAACCCAAGGCAATCCTGGATACTTTCGTCACTCAATTGAAAATTGCTTCATCGAGAAGTTATCGGTTTCCGCAGCGTGAAGTAATAAATAGAATAACTACTCCTCCTCCTGGGTGGGGCAGCACTCCAACTCATGTTTCCCCTTCTGGCCCTCCCCATTTCAGAATTCCCCTGATAGTTTGTTGAAACCCATTTATAGTCCCAGACGGGCAAAGGTACTGTGAATGGCTTCTATTGGAGCTCCTTAATCAAAAATTTCCCATCCCCCCATCCCCCCTTCCTTGAGTACTTTCTGGTTTCCGTGACATTTTACCAAAACCCAATCACAGACTTGGGTGAAGAAAGGCACAGTAGGAGCTGACCCTTTTACTTACAAGATCTCATTAGCAATTCTCCCTACTGTCTGCCATACAATTCTTCTGACATCAGTTGGGAGAATTTGGTATTGGGTATTGGGATATAATCCCCTAATTTATATTTTTCTTTGTTGTCATTATTTATCTCCTTGATATTGTATTGATATTGTTAAGAGAAATTCTGTCCTACTATCGTGTAAGAAATTTTACTTGCACTTACTTCAGTGTAGAACTGTATGTCTCTGTATTTCTTTTTGCCAATGATTATAGGATGCTGAAGAAGAAAAGAGTCATATTTTATAAGCCATCGTCAGAATTTCCATATCCGAAGACAGGGTAAGTATGAATTTTAACATTGGCTGTATCGACACCGAACAGTAGTTATCTGTTCAGTGTTAAAACGGGAACATTTCATAATAAATCAGTAAGAGAATGGGCCAGACACGATTCCTCAGCCAAACAAACTCAAAAGAAACCAACAAACAAACAAACAAACAAACTAACAAATAAATAAATAAACTAATAAAACAGACGTAACATATAGGTTGCCTTTCAATAGACAAAGAAAAGTTTGGGCTCAGCAACTTCTTATACCCGTAAGTCTTGTTAAACAACAAAGCGACAAACCTTTAAGTGAAAATGAAGTAGAATGATCATTTCTCCATCGCAGGGCTGCAAAGCAAGTTAAAAAATTTAGATGTAATAGTAATGATTACCTAGTTAAAACAACCTGGGTCAATTGTGCCTGTTCTAGCCAGTAGAGTACGCGTAATTTTGGCGAGCGAGTAGTCAACATTTTCTTGGTGAAACTCCATCTTAGATTTCTACAGCAGCGGAAGGCTGGGAAGAGAATAAAATTTGTACCCAGGGGTGGACGACGGTCACTCTAGCTCTAACTCCAACATGGCAGGTCGAATTAACTATCGTGTAACGTTAACTCGCCCTAAATAAGACGCCTACACAGCAGGCTATGACTATTCCTAATGTTATAGTTTCATAACCTCTAAACCTTTTTCAGACTGTACCTCGGAGGTTGACGATAGTATAATGCAACGTCCACACGGACTCTGAATTGACCGCACCAATAAAGCAATCCCTAAAGCTCGAATAAAATTATTTTCAGCTATGCACCCATTAATCATTGTTCTCCACGCAAACTTGTATCAGATTAAATTCTACGTACTGCAGTCCGTCGATTGTTCAGATTCCAATTACACGCTATACGATTTGGCTACAAATAGTTTCATGAGAAGAACTTAACGCCTCCGAATGACAATCAAAACTTTATTTGGGCAAGAAAATAAAACGATAATTTTACCTGGAAAAACGCATGTTTTACATTTCCATACAAAATGTCGACGTGTTCTCCGCGATACATTCCAAACCTAAAACCTTTAAATTAAGATTCGAACATCGGGTTAAGATCACCAGACACAACAAGTACAGATAGAAATGAACAGTCTGCGTACTCACCGTTCGTATGCGCTTCCAAAGTGCCCTGAGAACATAAAAACGACAAAACAGAAGTGTGAACAAAAGAGCTGATAGACGACAGAAAATAAAAATTATCTCCATCTGCTTGACTACAAATTGTTACAGTATTATAAATGTATTCATTGCATTACTTTACAACAAAAAATGAAACGGGATAAATAAAAAATACAACATTCAAGTAATATTAACCTTAAATGATAATATATTACTTCGTAAATGTAAGCATGATAAAATCAACCTGGGTTTATTTGATGTCACCAAAATAACGGAATTTATAAATTCTGTGGTAGCGTTTCCTGTAAACAGTAGTTTGATATTTGATGGTAAAAACCATGACACATCATTGTTTTTTAAAGGAAACCGAAAACGATAAAAATATCAAAAGTTAGCCAAGAGACAAGAGGTAGCAACCATTATGGACGTACCGGTGATCTTCTTTGAGTTATACTTGGTCTTATGTACAAATCTTTCAATTTTGGATTGCCTTTGTTAGGGTTTAGTATAAGGTTTCCCTGTTGGACCACGCCCTGTTGAGAAAATAATGACAACAAACGCTTATGTAACACATTGACAAATATATCATCAGCAACAATGCTGCCTCACAACGAGGTAAGACAAAGTCAGATTGGGAGACGGACTCGCACAGCCGCCGAAGCATCTCCTAGTTTCTATTACATGGAGCTTCTTAGAGTCTTTCAACTTCTCCTAGATATTAGGATAGATATTAGGAGATATTAGTCTTTCAATGGCTACGCGTTCCACCGTGCTGGCATCCATTTATACTCACTGTTAGAAAGAGGCTCGGATATGGAAGATTCTAACCCAAAAACAGACAACAAAGACCTTGGTCAGAGCTTGCACCAGGACCTCTCGATCCAGTATACCGTTCGCTGACCACTGGTCCACGTCCTCTAACAACCAACGAGGGAAACAAAGGCAAACTACAGAAAATAACCTCCTGGGGAACTTTCTCTAAAGTAAATTTAACATCTCACATCTAACAACAGGAGCGATGCCTAGAAATGGTTAAGGTTACAAAGAGCAGCACACACACCTGTCTCTCTTTCTCTTCAGCCTCCCGTGTTTTGAATTTTTTCTGCACTTCTTTTATCAGACGAAACGCTGTGTTCAGATTGGACGCCGGTGGCTGAGATGCGCCATGAGGTCTGCTGTTCGAGCTTCGGTAATTTCTGTGTTAAGGAGAAAAAAAACCTCATAAAAACCATTGACTACACCATGGTTAGAATCTTCAAAAGATTTGTGCACAGTGTCCCCAATTTTAGACGTGAATCAACTGTGTAGTGGACCATGCACTTCGCAGGGTCAAATGTTTGCTACGAGCGCACTTCGGGATGTGACGAAGGATGTAAGAAACGTCTGTCCTGTGTGTTGGATACACCTGATCGATAAATCGAAAATCACTAAGTCTCGATTTCGCGGTCAAATGCACCTCTAAGTGAGGTGCAAAGAATTCGTTGATGAGCTACGTGTAAGCCATGACTCGAATTTTCATCCGAAAAGTGTCCGACAAAATGCCATGAAAAGCAAAGTCGAAAGTGTGCAAAAAGGAGATAAAGAAAAGGTAAAAAAGGTGTCACCAGCGTGGAAATAGTGTAATTTACGCACATAAAAAGCTACCACGCACTGGGGAGGTATTCCTGTCATCTGTAGCCACCATCACAAAACACAAACAAATACTACTCTGGTTTAATAATTAGTCACCAATAAGAAAATAACTTCAACAACTACTTTTCACGAAAGTTAAGACACTCAGATGTGCACCATTATAAACGATTAATTTTCACTACTATTTTAAAGCACAAAACTTACACTTCTTTAACAAATGTAGCCTCGGGTTGAGCGAACAGACTTCCTTCAGAACGACCGACAGCACTGGAAAAAAAAAGATTACAATCTCGTTGTAGTTGGACTCATGGAAAGAGCTTTAATCCAGCCAGAAAAGAGGAAAAAATTAGAGGAATTTTCAATCGAGTCTCGAAAGTAATGCTGGATTGCTTTGATTTTGCTTAACTTTGTTTTGCGCTCAATCTGTTGATGAGACCAAATAACGACTGCGAGGCAGGCTGCACCGTGATTGGTTCAGCAAACAACCCGCGTCACCCTCTAAACCAATCAGACGCAAAGATTGAAACCAACTGCCTCGGCTTTTATCACACTTGCGTCAATCAACATGTATCACCTTCGCGGTGTCATTGGCTCATTGTGATACTATCCACGACTCTGATTGGCCATTGTATTCACTTTGATTTTCGTTGATAGACACCTAGTAAAATTTGCTAAAACCTTGGCTCATTACCTTCCAGGACAAAACAGATTAATTCGAAGGTAGGTATAACCGCCCTCATCGCTGGAACTGATGTTCTAAAAATACAAAAATAATATGAACAAAAATTACAGTCTGACCAAAGTTTACCTGGGACGCCATTCCGTAACTTATAAAAGTTCCCGACAAGTGTCTTCTTGCATCATGAATTCCAAAAGACAGAAAATTATCTGATTTGCCTGGAAAATGATTTGGTACAGAGCTCTCACGATCCCTACATGCCTATCAGTTGAAACGCTTCAGAGGTTCAAAATAATGTTTTAAAAGCTACAAATCCTTTACTGTTCATTGTTAAGATGTCATTTCTTATGAGTCGTAAAATGTCATTGATTACAAGAATGGACGCAATTTGAGGTCGACTGAACAAAATCTCACCACAACATAAGTGCAGTATCAGAAGCATTGCACAAAACTGTGCCACGGTTGTAACAAAATAGCCAAAAGATTAGGAAGTTAGGATACCAAGCCTAGAGAAGTGAAGGAAGCATTTGAAATAGCAAAAAGAAACGAAAACCTATCATCTCTCCATCTTCCCCTTGCTTCTCAACTAAAAAGGTTTGACTCTGGCGGCCACACGCGAACGCGCAGTGGGTAAGCAAATTTATACCTACCTTGATGGTAGATATGTGAAACGGTGTAGCTACCCCAAATAGCGGTAAAACAACTGCCTCGTATTTTTTGTCTAAAGAGAGAAAAAAACAGAGCCGAATTTAAAAAGAGAAAGAACTAAGCGTACACAAGCAGCGCTTTTTTTAAATTTGGGAGTCTTGATTCATCAATATAAATTGTTACTTCTTCCACAGTGAGGGAAGTGGGGTAAGCTGACCCTCTGACCCACTCTCCCTCCCTCCCCCCTCGATAAATGCACTAGCCGATTCATGCCCTAAAATGGAACGAATTAGAATTACGGTTTTCTTCCGAACAGAAATGAACTAAAAACTACTCCAAAACCTTGGAAATTCAAAAAAACCATAAATTATTTGACAAAATCAAGAGCAATCAATGTTCGTTGTTGTGTAAAGGTTATGCAAACAAATTACGATGTTTTTCCCCACATTTCCGACGAAATATCGCCTGAAAAGAAATTTCTGCGAAACTTCCGCGAATTTTCGGCGCGACTATACTGTTTAGGTCCTTCCGAACTTTCGCGGATTAATTTACTGGGGACGTTAGTGAGTCTCGTAATTTCGAGAGAAAATTTGGCCCTTCCGAAAATTCGCGGTGAACTTTTCAGAGAAACTGTAGCAACAATGGTTTCTTGATAAGGTTTTCCCAAAAGAAAGAGCCACATGTAAATATATATACAAGAACTTGCTAACCAACAAAAATCTTGTGTTCTCTGACATCATTATCTCTCGGAACAATTGTAGGATGTTTGTAGGCTACATTGGATGGTTTCAACCTGAAAATAATTCCACGTTAAGACAAAAAACAGAAGTAAACCCTCATCTGTACTGCCCCATGATAAAAGACAACAAGGTTAGAAACACAACAAGTTGTCATTGACAAAGATAACACAATAATGACACAAGCTTGTAACACAAGAATCACTGGCTTTTACCAAAATGTTCTAGAATTCAAAAGCACTTACTTAGTAGTCGCATCTGTATCCCCTTTGGACTCGAGAAGACGTCTCTGCGAGAATTATAAAACAATCAGCCTTGTAATTTTATCGTCAAGTTGCCATGTTCTGCTGGTAGCACATATTCTACTCGTTTTAAAAGAAAAGATGTGTTCCCTCTCCTAACCAGCAAACTCATTTATTTCAGGAAACAAAAGAAAACATTTCATCTTCATCATTAAAGATGGGCGAGGTTCCATCAGGTTCAAGACGGCTAAGACGGCAAGTTCTGAGCTGGCTACTGGAATCAAGAAGGTTGATACTCGTCTATTCCCGAGCGTGAGCAAAAAAATGCCTATCTTTAAAAACTGTTATCATTACAATAGAGAAATTTCAACCCTTTAAAGAGTGACTAGTATCAAACTTCCCCCTACAATAACACCCCCGAATCATACAGTAACGTCACGAGAATAAGGAAATAATCATCAACAAAAGAAGCTTTTGATTGGTAAACGAATTCTCCTTACCAGCACCTTAAGAAATTTATCAAGAGCAGTATGGAGAATATATAGACTGATTTTAGGGTGTAAAGAGTTAATTGAGTGTCGAAAAAGTAACCCGGGAAAGTTTGTTTAACTTTGTTCTGTGATTGGTCAAGAAAACCCACAATATCCTCTTGACCAACCACATGCAGAACTAAAGCATTTGTGACTTGGTCATTCGCGTTTTCCCGCGCCTCAAGTAGTCTGCTTGTTTTCTCTTTGAGTTCTCATTGGCTGATGATAATGTAAACGTTTGTTGTGATTGTTCATTTGGTTTTGCTGTAACAGTAATTATCAATAAGTATCATTAACAGCCCTTTCACCTTTGTTATGATTGTTCATTTGGTTTTGCTGTAACAGTAATTATCAATAAGTATCATTAACAGCCCCACCTTTGCTTCTTCGTGCAACTGCTCCTTTAGTTCAAGTTGATGTTTTTTTCGTCTTTCCTCTGCTGTCATTTCAGTCTAAATCAAGCAGTACAAATGATCACTAATACGTAACACTTAAAGCTAAGCTAAAACTAACAAAACTTTGTGATGATTAAAGATTCCAGTGAGTGAAAGGCAGAAGCTCAAGAGAGTAAAGCCTCTATTTCTTACTTCTCATTTATTTTTAGCCATTTATTTTGAAACCAGGAAACGACTATAATTTAGCAAACAAGAGTTTGCTTTATTAATACACATACTAGCAGTCGAATAGATTTAACAGATCAAGTAGAGTAAAGCTGCACAATGAATGTCTAATTGTACAGTATGGACATAGAACAAGTGACTTTAAATGCCTTCATGAGAATTTAAACCAAAAAAGTTATTGACGAAATCAAAAGTTAAAGAAATGTCAATGCAGAAGATCTGAATGATTATTTTGATACACATATTATTTCACTTGTGTTCTTAAATTAAGTTATGATAAGTTTTTGTAGAGTTAATTTACAAAAGTATGAAATTTTAAAAAAACTTTTGACCTAACATGTATCCTGATTAAAGTATTCAACATTTATTGCTTTAAGTTAGACAATGAAATTCTATTCAGACTCATTTATAATATTAGGATTGTTAAGTGGGTGCATACATGAATTGCTTTTGTGTATGTAAGCTTTGAATGATCAGAACACTTGTCAGCATGCAAGCAGAGCTTGCTTTTACTTGGTGAATGTCACTCTGTAATTCTTCCAATTAATTTTTTGGTAACCTTGCAAAAAAAAAATTAATCACCTCAAAAATAAATTACATAAAGCAATTCATAAGGTATGAAAAGGGCAGTAATTGAACCATTTCAATTATTGAATGAAAGAAGGTCTTAAGGGATGAGCAATCAACATCACCCTAGAACTATGAAGTTCCAAAAATTTGCCTGATTCTTTGAAAATCACATATTATGTTCAAGTTTGTCAGATACTCTTATACTGAAAACACCTCATTACAAGTTAAAGATAAAGAAAAGGTGTCTAAGTGAGTGTTATAACAATTTACGATTTTAACAAGCATTTAACTTAACAAGCATCCACACTCTGATAAGTGTCCTTCCCAGAATAAGCACCCATCCCCCCAGCCACTATGGTTTTAATTGTACACTTTTAAAAATTAATTCCCATTTTTGACCATTTTTTAGTTATAATATTATAATATTATCTTAAGTACACTGTAAAAAGCTTACAGTGGTCCCTGAAGTTCTCAGCTCAGAATACTGCAGAAAAAACATGACATTAGAACATTCATCACACAATTTCTTAATTGACGTGGAAATAATAAAAATTTTAAATTAATTTACAGCTGTATGTTTAAAATATTTAGTGATACAAAGTGGATTTAGTGTGGAGAATTTTCAAATTGGTCAAAATTATACTAAACAACCAATGAAACCGTTTCAAACAACCAAACAGTTGGAACGGCCTTAAAGAGAAAAATAAGTTTACATTTACATTCCAGGCCATAAAAAGGATGGCACTCTTTCAACACATGAAGTATCTTTGATGGTTGTTGTTGTTGTTGTTGTATTTGGTTGAAACAGTACAGTATACAGTACAGTCAACTAAATCAATCATGTGCAAAAATAAATGACTGAAATACAGTTAAAGCTTAATAAGAACCTTCATTTTTCCTTTAGGGTTAAAATACAATCATCAACTCACTCTTGTTCTGCTTTCAAGTAATGCCCCTTTCCCCTCTCGACCCAAAAGAAGATCCTCTTCAGCCTGCAAATAAGTAGAAAGAACGTACAGTCAAGTTATTGAAGGCTTTGCAATTTAATTTCATACTGCAATTGACAACTACAGGGCAAAAGAAAATAACTGGAGAGAAAGCTGCCATTTGCAACTAAGGATATGACATTCTGAATCTTTGAAATCTCACAGTTGTTTCTAAAGAGTTCCGCAATATGATTAACCACAGCATATGGAGAACCATATCCAACTTCATAGTTCCCATGTTGAGAGGCAGAATAATGCCAAAAATCCTATCTATTCCAGAGGAAATGATAGTATGATACATCAATGCATGAGCTACAAAAATTGCAGTACATGTACCTCTCCATTTTCTTGCTGATCTTGTCCTTCATCTTCCTCATCCTGTGGGAAAAGAGAAAATTAAGGCAAGCTATACATAATCCCACCACAAATACCTGTCTAACACCTTACAATCCCAGGAGTGACCAAGAAGTAAATTCTCCATACTGTATAAATACACTGACAAAAAGACAGATGGCAAGAGTAAGAAAAATATCAATGAGGAAATATCATTTGATTAAAAACCAATGTAAACCTAAGAAATGTTAGGCTGACAGTAAGGAAAATCACTTTTAAAATCTTGGGAATAAGAGGGTTACATTGTAAGTTTTCAGCAAGAAAGAAAGTAAAGATCAACCAACCTTGAGAAAGATGCCAATATTAGAGATCTTTTTCTTGGCTGATGTTAATATAGAGGCTGGAGAGTCCTGAAGCAAACAAACAAACTTATCACCAAAAGATAAATAATAAAAGGACACAAATGCAATATTAGTCCCAGACACAAGAAACAAGAGATACCCAATGTAAAATGTTGACGGACACAAAAAAGTACAGGAAATGTGGGGAATATAACAAACAGGTTATAAACAAACTGCATGCCTTTGAAAAAGTCAAATAGCTTATGGACACTGTAACACCTCACAGGTATAAACACACCATAATTATGCACTTACTAATGATGATAATACTACTACTAATGATAATAATAAATAATAGAAAACATGTGGTATGGCACATGACTGCCAAGTAAAAGGATATGCCATCAAAATGAGGGCTTCCATATCAATTAAAGTTGCCAAATTGTGTCCACTTGCCACGGCTTGGAGCACTTTTATTACTGAGGAGGATGCACAAACCTTGCATATGAGATTAGGAGGATACAAATGACTCACAACCACTGCTTGTTTTATTGGTTTTTCTGTTTTACATATACATGTATCTAACCACTCCTGGCCAAAAATTGAGTTCTGTACACACATACCTCATTAACTAACACAGTATCTCCAATAAAAAGGGCATAGTTTTTACCCTCACTGTCCTCTGCATTATCATTAACCAGGCCTGAGAAACCTGCATTTATATTGAAAACCATCCCTAAAGCAAGACAATTATACAAATCAATTTGTAAATTCCAGGTTGATCATATATATACATTTTTGTGTACACCATGTTATCCTTACTTTGTGTCTTACAACAAATATAGAGGGAGCCAGTTACCTTGGTAGCACTTTATGTACAGTTGTACATGTACACTCAGTAACACTGATGATATCTATTTTTGTAGGTTTCTATATCTCAACCAATGCAGTTTCATTGTTACTTTCCTTTTGCTTGGATTATGATACTAAATAAAAGGAAAAATAAATTTACCTTTCTTTGCCACATGATTGTTTTTAGAAGTTATGAGTAAAGAACCTTCCCTAAATTCAATTCCCATCCCAAACCTGAAAACAGTCAGAGAAAACTACAGATTACAAGCTTTGAACAAATATTTGTTACTTATAAACAGATGATAAATTAAATCTGGTTAAAAAACAAAACAAAACAAAAAGCATAATCTAACAACAATTAAGTTCTTTGAAACTTTTAACCCTTTAACTCTCAAGATCTGAAAGTTAATTCTCTTCTCTAGCTGCTATATATTTCCTTGTAAACTTGTTACAAGAATTTGGTAAATTGGATCTAGATGACAACTTCTACCTGATAAGTTTGAGTATTCTCATTACCTGTTTGCTGGTAAAACATTACCCAGGACGAAAACTAATAAAAGTCCTAATGTAAGCTAATGTATACTGAAAATAAACTACGTGTAAATGTAAAATGCCATTTATTTACTCAATCACTTACCCAACATTTTTCACAAAATTAGCCTGAAAATCAGGTTTCTTTTCTGTAACATGTTCAAGGGCGGCATTGTAAACATCACAAAGTTTCACTCCTAAGAGTAAACATTACATTGTCCATAAAAATTTGCATTTTGAAATTTGGCTATGATCAGCAATTTTTTATTAATAATTAACACTAAATAATTCGACAAACCATGTCTCAACTTGTCCATAATAACATCCACAGTTGTCAGAAGCAGATCATAGTTTTCTTGTTGCTCCTAGACAACAACACAGTATTTCATGAGTACAAAGGCCTCAATGTAAAAACACTAGGCATTTATGCACTGAGATGGAATAAACTTTTTCCAGTTTCTGTAAAGTGACTCAACTTGGAGCAATTGCCACTTCATTTATAATGGTGTAGCTAGTCCATTGCAGATACCTGCAGCCTTTCTTCAAGTTTCCACAAAAATTTACAAGAAAATCCCAGATTGAAGATTGAAATACAGCTCTAACTTAACTGTAGGGGAAAAAAATCTCACCTGCGATGGCTCATATAACATTGTGCGAACAATGTTGGAACAGTAGAACTTGTATCGAACACCAAGGGAGCAGATTATTGTACCATAGTGAAGCTTTTCATCATTACTACAAAATGTTTAAACAAGATTGTCAAGTTGAGTCATTAGTCATTATAAATGATGCCACTGCAGCTGTAATTTAGGTCAGGTGTAAGCTAAGTTAATGCATTGGGTACATCAATGTGATGAAATGTTTGAGGGGAAAGTGCCTTGTTATTTCACCCAATTCGCTCTGCTTCATTTGTACATATAGATAAGGCTGGTAATCACAGTCTGAGTTATCAACTTCCTTCAAGATATTCTTACCTTACTGTACTGAACTTAAGTGTGAATTTTCCCCCACTCTGAATAATGGGAGAGTAACACATCTCAACCTTTAAAGAGGAATGAACAGAAATTAATAGATGTACACGAAACGTTTTCCAGTTTCCAGAGGGGACCAAGAGCATTGCTTCTTCCCCTGGATGGGATGCTATTCTGTCATATCTTGTCTCTTTTGCACTTTGTCCAGTTTCCTGACAGTTTTCTTTCACTCTTTTATACTCCTGGGTGGAGATTAACAGCATGAGAGTAGAGAATCTTGCCAAAGAACACAGAACAATGACCCTGGCTAGAATATGAACCTTGGAATTTGATCCAGACTTCCACAGCTCAACCAATACCACTGTGACTTTCACGAAAAAGCATATATTTTCACTAATGCTTCTGCTTGATGGAACAATAAATTTTGTTGATTGCATTTAATCGAGAACTCTGGAGGAACAACTCTGCAGCTGATATCATTTAACTGGATCAATCACAATGAAAATAGAAAGTGATCCTCACTTGTTCAGAATCCATTCCAGGTTGCAAAAATTTCTTTGATTCCAAAGCTCCTTCTATTCCATCTGCAATTTTTGAATGTTTCACCCTCTGCAGAATAGATAATAACATGAATAATTAATATTTTTTTTTTGAAAATCATAACATGGAACTCCAAGATATTGCACCTGATAGGCAATTTGAAACTTGCCTCATGCAGGTGGGGAATTTGAACCAGAGATGCAAGTCTTTCCAGCCATTCCAGTGAGATACAAGTGTTTTCTCTTTCAATAAAGAGGTGCTTAAACATACATAATTCACTTTTGCATTCAAATGACTCAGAAAATAAGGTGTACAAGGTTTAGGTTTTAATGCTTAAGTAACAGTCGCAGATTTGGCCTTTGCAAAAGAAAAATTGGGTAGGAATTTGAACACAATTTTTGCCCCAAAGGTGGGAAATTTTAATATTGATCAAGGCATAAAGTTGTGATATTGAAACAAAAATGGATGACTCTGGGAAAGTTTTCAAACAGCTAACCCAATATGTGCATGTCATTTTAATGTCTGATCACATGAACCAACTTTGCATGTGATAATCTCATAAATAATTGACCACATTCTAAAAAGTCATTAGTTTCTGCCACTCAACAATACTTTCCTGATTTGGAGTTGTTAAAAAAAATTACAACCCAACTACTGTAGATTTAAAAAAAATTGACTTTGCTCATAGTTCCACCTTTTCATCATCTACAATTTCCATGACTTGTTTCTTGAAGTATTTGACAAAAATATCTGAGGAAACTTGTGCAGCTTTCTACAGAAGGAAAAAAAAATGTCTTAGATGGCACTACTGCCTCCACTGTAAAACACAAATGACTGAACAGGAAACTGGTTGTTAACCATTTCCACACGTATGAACATTCTCTATACTGGGCTCTTAACATTTCCTATAATAAGGAAAATTTGTTTTACAATCAAAAGATTCTCAAGATGAAGATCATTTCCTATATTCTCTTTACCTTGACCCCTTAACTGCCAGAAGTGATTAACATGTAACTTCTTCTTATAATATCCACACATTATCCAGCAAACAGGTAATGAGAATACTCAAACTTATCATGTGGAAGTTATTATTTTAATCTAACAGCATATTCTCAGAACTACTGTAATTTCAAGGAAATGTGTAGCAGCTAGATGGTAGAATTAACAGTCAGATCTTGGGTGTTAAGGGTTAAAGGTTGATTCAGAGATGATATTGAGAGGAGAAATGACAATTTTCTTTTGGTTTACTTTGCAGGCTTTTGTTAGCCACTACAGCTAAAAACAAAAGAGGCAGTTGAGAAGACAGTAATAAAGAAAGTTTGAAGAATGTGAAATGCAGCACTGCCTCAATTTCAGTTACAACTATAACTTGCAAATCTACCCTTTTACATCTGAGATCTTAAAATAAATCTTCCACGATATTGTGCCTAATAACACCAAGAATTGGTATCAAATCAAACAATATCTCATTGCAGATGTTTTTGGTTCTTCTCGCCACCATTAAAATTCATTGAAACAGAATTCTTCTTTGATCACCTCTGGTTAGAGAAAGCCCTAGTTCAGTGACATTAGGGTTACAAGATAAATCCCTGCTTATACCTTGACATGAGTGAGCTCTTGGTCCTCTCTGACTGACATCACATACGCCACTGCACTGCTAATGTCAACCTGCAAAACATCACATCAGCACTCAGCCACGACTACTCACATGATCAACACACAAATATGTACAAACTGTTGTATTTAACAACAAAGAAAGATAACAAAAACTAGAATGGTGATCAGCTTGTAAAATGGTCACAAAAAATATGAAAAGGAAAAACAATCCATGCATTACTGTCACTAGCATATAACAAACTGTCAACTTTTAGCTAAAGTTTAAAGCATATTAATAAATTGTGTTGGTACAAATGTTACCAATGATAAAAACTCTCAGTAGTTAATAAATTTGAAGGTTGTAAATTCTTCAGACCTTTTCAAAGGACTCCTTTTCAAATGCATTTTTCCACTCATCAACAAATTGTCCCTGAAAATTATCTTTTTGAAAAACACCCACAGTCTTTCCCTGTAAAAGAGAGCATAAAGTCAAGTAAAGATTACAAATACATTTGCATTACCAGCTTGCTTCATCAAGAATTGAAAATCAAAGACATGCACTCTCAAAGGGGATAGAAACACAAATGTATTTCTCTACTAACAAATGCACTATAAATCATTTCAACATTATACTAGTCTCATTGTGGTTAAATTAAGTAAATAACCTTAAGCTCACAAGTCTCATACTTACAGATTTACTTTCTCTCATAGAGTTAATCAGTTTTTGGAAATTCTCCTTGTCTTGGTCAGTCTGTAAAAAGCAGGGATACATTAACAACTGTAACCCTTAAACCCCTGAGTGACCAGCACTTAATTTCTCTTTACGATATAACCCCTGAATTGACCAATTAAGGTTATGAGAATAAAGGAAACAATCACCAACAAAAGAAGATCTTGATTGGACAATGAATTCTCCTTTTCAGTACCAAAGGAAATATAAAGAGAACAGAAGGGAGAACATGGAAAATAATTTTAGGGTGAAAAGGGTTATCTTCAATAAGCTGCATTCCAAGCTCAACTTTTTCAGAGTTACTGTTTGGTAACCTCAAATCAAAAAGGGTTGGCAGAAAAAAAGATTGGGCAGTATCACAACTTACTAAACCACTGACTATACCAATTGACTTAAGAGTATGCAGTGGGGCTGATATGCATTTTTGGAGACTTTACACCATAAAACTAGGTTAAATGTTCTGACTTGCTACATGACTGCTGGAGTCCCTGATGCAAATAAAAAAAAAAAACACCCAAAGAGCACCTGGCAGTAAGATGTTCAGGATGTGATGAAGAATTGGGGCCACACCTATATCACACTCAAAATACTGGCCCAGAAGTGGACAAGGTAGGAGAGGGAAATCTTTGCTGGCCCATGCTTATTAATACGGGAGGTAAGGACATACATGTACCTACTAAATACACGGCAAATGCCACCAAACTTGGCAACTTGTACTGTTAATTCAGTTGCCAAAGTTTATTCTATTCTATTCTAGGTGCTATGGTTACCAAAACAGTGGCAGCTTGGGGCACTGATAATACTACCTATAAAATAACATGATATATAAAAAGAATAAAGTATATTTTCTATTTGTGGTTTACATTTATCTCCAGTTTAAATGCTACTTTCCTTTACTTCAAACTTTTTCCAAAACATTATCCAATCACTATTTAATGTTAATAAAAGTCAAGCTAAGGTTGGAATAAAACTAAATATAGGAAATGGCATTTGCAAAAATCCTTCCTACCTTGTTTCTCAAGTGAAGTTGTATTGATGGTGAAGTGTTGGATTTCACTTGCATATCTTGTAATGGTTTCAGAAAATCATATTTCTTTTTACTGGCAAGAAAGTGAACTGATCCCTCACACAGCACTGTTACAGTATCAGCCAGTTCATAACCAAACAACCATTGCTGAAGAAACAAAAACCACCAAAAACTTAACAAGCATGATTCAATTCAATCTCAGTCCTCTTCACAGGTACAACACAATAAAAAATTTCAGTGGCAGATGGCACAAAAATTCCTCAGTGAACAGCTAATGGAAGTTTTAATTGTTATTCTAACACTGTTAATTTCAGAGAAAGTAACCAGTGGATGGGAATTTTGCCAGTACCTAGTTTTATGTACTAATAAACAGTGTGGAAGGGGCAAATGGGAAAATATTAAATCTGTAGCTCCCAAGATCTGATTGTCAAGTCTCCCCTAAAGCAGCTACATGTTTCTATGTGCATTAGTATAAAGAATTTAATATCAGATTACGACTTCTACCTGAAAAGTTTAAGTATTCTCATTACCTGTTTATTGGATAATGTATGGATATTATAGGGAGAAGTTACATTTTCAGCACTTCAGGAGTTAAAGGGTTATGCTGAAGGTTGTGACACAGAGACCAACCACAGAAATGTTTTCCTGTTCTGTTCATTTGCAGAAAGAGGAAGAGAAGCATTCATTCTTAATTTGATTGACCACAAATTTTCAAAAAGCCAATATACAGTGCCCTAGTTTCCATTCCATTGTAATAATAAAAAAAGAGTACAATTCAAATCTCACAAGGCATTCTTTAATCAATAAAGGGAAGCAATTAGTGTTTTATCACGGTTCTCAGTTCCATTGTGGATTATAAAGGACATCAATTTTTTCAAGGCAGCAGAGAATTTCAGTTTCATGTCAACTTCCACATCTGAGTTATTTACTGGGAAAGATTTGTTGAGATACCAAAAGTAAGGGTACATGCTGATATTGGAAGAGTGATTGAACCCATAACAGCTTAAATTACAAATTACTCATGTAGCTACGTGATTCCGAAAATTATTTAATTAATGATTAATATTTATTGGTATTAATAATATTTAGTAAATGTTTTTAGTAGAATTAGCACAAGTTACATGTAAACAATGATCACAACGACTTGATATAGGTATCGTAGGAATGGAATGCATTTTGACAGTGTTATAAATCGATCAAATCCGTTTCATTTCGCTCCAGATAATGCACTCATGTACATCAGAAATTTAAATAATCGACAGCACAATTGAGGCCATGTGACCGCCGATAACCGACACTGTAAAAACATTTTGTACCTGTATTGCTGTCGATTTACTGTAAATGACGTCTTCGTCCTGCCCGACTGCAATCACCACTGTGTCGACACTTGGAAAAGCAGCCCCATTATCTTCCGTGCTGTCTTCCTTCTGAAATTAACATCATATGCTTATTAAATATTTGTCATACGTGAAAAATCTAAGTCCCATCGCTAAGTCAAACTTGTCCTTCAATGACCCCAAAACACGTCAAAATTTTTACCTTCCAGGCGTCGTAAATCCTTTTGATTCGCCGAAAAAAGGCGTCTTTGTCGAGAGAAATTTTTGATGCTGCCATGCTTTCCTAATGGAGGAAAGTAGCACAAATGTTCGAACACACGAAGACTCAAAATGGCGGGAATCAAATCCTACGCCATGACGTCACATTACCGCAACCAATCAAAGCCGCGCTTATACTTTATTTCTTGAGGTAAACCGCTGATGTGATGTGCGCTGATTCCGGCTGGATAAGTTGAGCTGTTAACACCAGGGTCGAGAGTTGTATAAAGTCCAACGGATAAATCACTATCCAGCGGATAACTGTTAACAAAACGTACTGCGCTATCCACCGGATAGAGATTTATCCATTCGATAGCTTTCTCCATGCTTCGAACAACCGGGGCCAGTAGTATACTTGTAATGGAAGTTTATGGGATTAATGAACTAAATACACTGACATTAATGATTGCCAAGGATTCTTTTAAGCTGTCTCTTTCCTGCAGCAATTCTTTGATGTATTTTGGTGCTAACTTGTTTAGCGCTATATAAACAGAGATCAGTACAGTCATCTTGTTTTCTCCTGCTTGCTAGACTCCTTCCAACCTTCAACAGCTTGTCGAACGCGGAGGATTTGTCATCAAATAAAAATTTTAGCGCTCTTTCATTTCTATTTTCGAGCTTGTCTTGGATTCTTTTCCCATTGCGAAGCCATTCTCCCGAGCAGTATAGGAAGCGCAATGAAATGAAGGCTCGATACCTGTGAATAGATTTGAGCGCGCGCAGTTATCGAGCGCGCTCATGTTGTGTTTATGATATCACAATACTTGCTCCAGTTGCAAAAACCAGTTCAGTTGAGGACACTGTGTTAATTTTGCGTTGAATTTTCTATCGAAATTTTACTCAAGCATTTACGACAATGGGTATTTTTGGAAGCTTGAAACGTTTTAACTGCTTTGGATCCGCTAAAGGACAGAAATCCAGGCAAGAACCGTAACAAAGGACTATCCGCTTATTGTCTTTCAACCTTCGTTCTTGTCTCATGATAATGGAAATTTTTTTCCTCTTCACAGACGAAACATTACAAAAGAACTCAGCAATATGCAAGAAACAGTCAGCATACTCCAAGCACAAATTCAAACCAAAAGGTATGAATTATGATTCAACTGGTGTTATAATAAGGCTTAATTATTTTGAAGTGTTTTATCGGTTATCGCAATCTACACAGGGGCGTAGCCAGCCTACTGCCCCGTAGACCCGGGCGTGAAGGTTTTTTCCGCCCGCTTAACTTTTACGATATGACTCTTGCAAAGTTGGAACAAAAATTTGACTTTCCTTACAGCATATTTTCGAGCAACAAGAAAAATTCTCGTAACATGAAAGCACTAGGTTAGCACGCTTCTAAATCTCTGAAAATAGTGCCTACAACACGTTGAAAAGGTGGATACGCCTCTGCTAGTAATGTCCACTTCGAAAGGAAATTACAACCCACTATAACACATTTTTATTTTTTATTGGAACTTAAAAGCTTAAGATTTACTAAGAACAAAAGTTTCTGTTATTCGCTTTACACAGAAGAGTCCTTGAGTTGTGCAAGGAACGTCAAAGAGTTGAAGAAGAGAAACAGGAGATAATGAAAAACACCCGAAGCCACCTGTTGGCTCAAGCAGAACAGATTGAGAGCAGACTTAAGCGAGCTTTATTAAAAAGTCAGCAATCGATGTCTGATATGATGTGAGTATGGAGAGCTTTTTTATTAAGTGTCATTAATTTGGGTTATGCAGTTTTACTGCGTCTATTAGTAGAAACGATTGTTTTCGAGTAGACAACTCTGTACTCTTAGTTTCCAGAAAACTTCGATACATATCTTCGTGTAAAATAAAGACAAAAGTATCGATCCCAGGTACAAAAAATTTTTTATTAGTAAAATCCTAGGTTTACTGCATATATAGATACGTGTCCTCAATAACGACGATTTTTTTTTAATAGTAAAACACTTGATATGGAAAGGAAAGCCATCGTTTTCTGGAACAATTTGAATAACTCAGCCAAAGACTTGGGAAAAGTCGCCGACACGTGGAAACCTGGGAAATTGCGGCGTGTGCGCGCATTAAACGACCTGAGTACCAGCCGAGAAGAGATTTTTGATGATGAGTTTGCAACATGTGAGTTCCCTGGTGACTTGTCCGATGATGATGTATTAACAGAAATACTGAGAAATGAGAAGTTTGAGGGAAGTCTCAGTATAATGGAACCTTTCTTTTAAAGACGTTCTATGCTTTTCATGTACGAAAAATTTTCAATGTGTTTTGCGATCAGTTTTCAGAGTTGTTTAATAAAGGCAAAACTGACTCTGTATCAGCACAAAGAATAATATGTATTAAAAGGGTGTTTCACTGCTTTCATTTCAGTCTTTAATTATTTTTTGGTCCTGTGTCAATCTCACCATTACTATTAAGCAAAAACACTGTACTAAGAGCTCATCTTTACAAGGCCAGCCTCTATCCACGTATACACAAATCCGACAAAATGTTGACGTGTTGTCTGCAGCTCAGTCAATGGTTCAATTATCTCTTTGCTTTAGTAATTTCAAGGGAAGTTTTTTCAAAGGAACTACAGGAGCTTGTGAAAGTCATTTTTCTTTCATGTACGGGTAGGAAACAATAAAGGGCCAGGATTCAGAGGACCGGGTGGCACACCTCTAATAAGAATTCCGAGAGGCTAACGGCCGTGACTTTCTTAGTAATTTGCCATGAAACTGCCATTTCATTCATTCATCCATTCAATTGTTTTCACTTTCATTTTTTCTTTTCGTGACAGCGGAAACCAATTTTATGACATTAACGATGACAAGTGTTTTTGCTGGCCCTATTTAATTACGTCAAAGCCATTTGCAACCTCTCTTATTAGGCAGACCTTAACCGACTTCTTTCAAGGGCATGAAGGACATTTATTCTCTCTCGACGCTGTCAATTTATACTTTACAATTAAATATCGTTGAAAAGAATCGACAACAATAACCCTAGCTTTCCTCTCTTAAATTCTGTTATACTCCTAGAATGAGCGATTCAAAGACCTCGAAGTCGGTATTCCAACGGGCGTACTGGGTTTGAAGCCCTGCGGCATATTATATGCAATATACCTGCTCTTAATCCTGGCATCCTCATGGTATATATTATAGGATTTATCAGAGAATTGCCCATGAAAAATGTACCTTTTATCATATCAATATCAAATGATGATTGGCGATAAAAGCTACGATACATGCCCATGTTGAAACTGGCGACACCGTGAGATACCAACATCGGCAGTACTGTAAATAACGATACCAAGGAGACGAGACACAATGTCGTTGTTAGTTTTCTGTCCCTCTGACCGGTTGCACCATGATGTTGAGGATGGAGAGCACAACGAACCTTGATATATATGGCAATATAGCTAACGCATATTACGAAAACAAGGAAAAAATAATAAGAAAACTGGACCGGATTACGATTAAAGCGGGGGAAACGGCGCTGAAGTGCTATTCCTACCCCGTGCATGGCTAAGGGCACCAACCAAGTGGCTGTTATTAGCACTCCATAAACCCATTTCCTAATGTAACGATGCTTTAAAGGACGGAATGTTGCGTGGGCACGTTCTAATGAAATAACAGCGAGATTAAAAAAAGAGAGGAGGGGAAGTAGGACCCCCAAATGAATTGTTAGTATGTTTATCCAATCAACATCAGGCCAATTGTATTTCCATAAATCACATCTGCTGCTCCCTGTCCTTACAATGAATAAAGGCCCCACAGACCCAACCAGCATGTCGACTATGGTCAGATTGATAATCAAGTATGTACTCCTCCGTTGTAGCTGGCGCTGCTTCACAAACACAAGCATGATGATGATATTGAGGCTGACTATGACCAGGTATTCAGCCATGCGGAAAACGAGCCATGGGAGGCAACGCGATGCGGGAACCGGCATCCACTGATCCTCACTGCTCGTTCTGTTGGTGGTGTTCATAGCCATTACGTTTCTGCTGAAATTCGAAGTACACCCTTGAAATCACATTTAAATGAATGGAAACGTACTTGGCAATGACATACCCTTTTCGGTTTGATCAATTATCAAACGTTTTTTCTTTTCCTTCAGCTTTTTGTAGAGTTCATTTAAAAAATTCATGGCTGAGTACCCAAATTAAACTTGGAGACACCTGCTAAACGTTTCCCTTTAACAACCTAATTACTCAGCATAATTGCTAAGTGGTGCGTGACTCAGCCCGCGTCTCTTTCGATAAGCTGATATTGCATATAAATACCATGCTACAAAAAGCTTATATCAAAGTACACGCAATGAAACTCTAAAGGCCGTAAAGCTTCCATTTGCTAAAATTATGCTTGTGTGTTTCGTTAATAATCCACCATCGTGAAGTTTTATTCGACTGCACTACTGATTTTTTTTACTTCCGATTTTGATCATGAAGTATTTTTTGTTTATCAAGCACAAATCCTTTCCTGTTTTTGAAACCCATAGCTTTTTTCCCTTTTTCATTTTTCCTCAATATTTTCAAAAAGCTCCGCAAGCTATGATTAGAGACGCGTGCAAGGAACTTAAGTTTTGGTTAAGAAAATGTTACTTAAAGAAGCAACTATCGAAAAATATTATTATCATTTCCACAGTCTTACTGAGTATTAAAATCGCTGTTTATTTGTTTCTTCGCCGCGTGTACTCAAAGATGGTGTTACTCTTGCATGATAATTTACGTGGAACGAAAACTTTACACCTATACATCATTCCCTTGATAGAACAGACTACTTGACAAGGAGATAAACACTGAGTCGAAGGTCACCGCCGCACAAATTAGTTCTACAAGGGTATAAGAACCTTTTTTTATGACTGTTGTTTTGAATGGCCAGTTATTCAATTTCCGTGGAAAAATTCCTGACTCAAAAGAGCTGGGGGTAAACTTTGAATAACCTACCTCGATCGAAGACTAAGAGAGTACTTGCAATCACAACAAGCTAACTTGAGATTCTGTTGTTTGTGTTTATGCAAGATAAGTTTCCAGCCAGGAGAGCTTGGCAGTCCTTGGTTAAGCGATGGTAAAAGAAAATGAATTAACTAGTCGAAAAACTTCATTATATATAATGTTCCTTATGATTCTCACATTAAAACCAAAGATTAGTTTATTGGCCTATGGCAGCTGAACTGGGAAAATAAATAACTAACTTACGGAAGCGGACTTTGGATAAGTATTTGTGGGTTAAGCCATCAGAGTTTTAAAATATTTTTCTGAAAAGTACCGGACTAGCTATCCATATCAGACATTCTTAAATAAACATCCCATTAAATTACACCGAGCTCAATTTCGACACTTTTGCACGCAGAGTGGCTATTTATTACCCGTGTTCGAGAACCGGAAACATGAACCTGACAAATGTAGGTAGAGAATATTAAAAACTTGAAACCGGAAAATAAAACACGTCCTACTTTAAGGCATGTAACGTGTTTTTTTTTAATAAAAACATTTTATTTTGCAGTCAGCTTTTTCAAACTTGAAGAGAATTCTTGCCTTTCCTTGACACATAGTCTTTGAAAAAGATTAATTAAAGATTTTGCTTTCATTCCAATCAATTCTTCCTCGTGTCTGCGACATATTTTATTTTTAATTTGGGCTCAAAAAACTGGTCATTATATCAAAGGATCCCAAAAGAATATCCGCTGTTTTATATAATTCTAATCCAACAAATATTTTTCTGGAGCGCGATTGGTAAAAACGCATCGCGTGACCAAATATCCCCCAACTAAAACGGGGGGATATCCGAGAATATACCCCGGTGATATTCCCTAATTTTCAAACCTTATGTCCAACACGTAAAACTTTGCGTTTAAAATTTGATTTAAGATTAGGAAGTGTTGTCCGTGGTGTGTTTTTTTGTATTGATAAAATCGTATCAGAGAACACCGAAAAGTGAACAACGAAAAGTGAACACCCCACGCCATAAACGGTAGGCTGTTCGTAAACATTTTCCCCAAGCTTTTTTTTTTTTTTTAATTGGTAAAATCGTATCAGAGAACACCGAAAAGTGAGCATCCCAAGCCGCAAAAGGTAGGCTGTTCGTAAACATTATTCCCACGCGTTTGAAAATATTTGAAGAGTAATTAACACAGTAGCCTCAATTTGACGCGAAAATATGCTATTTTATTTGTCCTTAGACATTATCTGCTGTTCCTCGAAGTTCACAGTTTTCCTCGAGCTTTGCAAGCCCTCGGAAAAAGCTGTTCGCATTCGGACAGATAATGTCTACGGATAAATATCCGGGCATATTTTCGTGTCAAACTGAGGCTATTGGTTATGTAACCTACCTTTTTGGCGATATGTTGATATTGTAAGGATTAATTACCTGTCGCGTGAAAGTGAAAGGGCCAATAACTAAAAGCACTATGGTAGGAAAGAAAAGTCGAAAGGGTAGAAATAGCTGGAATTCTATAAAATTTTCATGTTCGTAATCCTATAGTATGATGAACGCAGAATTTACAACCGAGTTAATCTATACAAATGACAATTATCTATTAAGGCTCGGGAAAGCTTCCGAAAGCATTACTCCCTGCGTTAGCCAAATATTTATTTATATCGCACGCTTTCAGGCAAAAATAGATATGATTTGATTTCCCATAACAATTTAATCATTCCTTTGTTTAAAAATATGACAAGATTGTACGAGTAGTAATCAATAAACATCAGGAAACATTTCCACAAGTGCATTTTAGCTGGATTTCTTTCAATATCATTCATAACTTGCATTAGTATAATTGGTCCGGTGATTATAAAGATGCATGCGTCAGTGATTGGTCGAGGATGCGTCATATCTCGCGATGGTCACCTCGCGAGGGTTGATTTTAGCAGGAGCGCTAAATTTCAAAATGGCCGCCTCGCGTTTCGTCAGTGTTAGACCGAGGAAGTGATGGAGAAATTTCAAATCCGAAGAGCATTAAAGATGCTCATAAGTTTGAAGTAACACTTTTTGAAAGAGAGATATTAAGTTCTTGCTGATTGAATTGAGTAAACCTATCAAATTCTTGCGGACACTGGCACTTGTACAACAAGCAACGAGTTTTTATATCGATTTAAAATTATATCGGTTCTTATGGCGCTAGTCAGATCCGTCATACAAGCTTATTGTGTCATGTACATAAATGTATTTTGAACGCGTGTAGATAAAAAAAAGTGCCTTTTCTCGTTGCTTAAACATTTTATTGCATTATCATCTTAAAAACACTTTTAATGGACTGCGACTTGCTCCCACGCAAACAGATGCGATAAGTACTCGACTTATACGCTTTTTAGGAAAAAAACTCCAAGCACGGAATTTACTTGGAGTGTACATCTCATCAATATGCTAAAAATACCGAAGCCGACCACGACGGAAGCCTCCCCAATTCTGGTCGGTGCACCTACTGTGGAAAAAACTCCAAACACGGAATTTATTAATTTAATTAATTAGAATAACGCTTTTAATTTCCCGATTATCAATGCTTGTTGTATGGTTCGAAGCTAACTTAAGTTGCCGTGCATTTTCAATGTCGCAAATCGATAGCCTCGACATAAGTTGCATGCAACACCTAGTAATCACATTATTTTAATGTATACCCCTTTTCCTCTTTGGACACACGCTATCCATTTTGCTCTATGTTTAACTTTTACCACATTACTAATTTTGAAAACTTCTCTACGTATTATTGCAAACACCAGAATTATTCGAAAATACTCCTGCCTATCCCTATCTTGATTAGTTGATCATTACCTTTAACAATTCCCTTGAGCATGCGTTCACTTTTTCATCCCAAAGCTTACCTTTTATTTCTTTGATCCGCCTCTAATAAGGACTCTCAGAGGAATGCTGAAAAGCCACTAAATTTCAATAGATTTTGTTTGTGGTTTTGAATGATTCAACCCGTGTATATTGAAGCATATATTTAACAAATAGATTCCAAGTTGCCGTGCGTCTGTTCAGCAATAGATCACAGAGGACGTAAAAATGTGGTAAGAACATCAGTGACACACTCGGCTGCGCCTCGTGTGCCACTTTTTTGTTCTAACTACATTTTGACGTCCTCTGTGATCTATTACTGAACAGACGCACGGAAACTTGGAATCTATTTGTTTTATATAATAAAGAATTGAAAAAAAACTTGAATTATGACGTCATCTATACGTCTGTCCTCCAATAAATCATAAGTGAGAACCAATCAGAATGCGTGCATAACTGAGCTTATTATATAAATATATGTAGCAGATACCTCTCATTTCATATCGCTCGCCGAGGATGTTTCAATCAGTGGTCTGCTTTGTTTCGGCGAATAAAATGAGTTGGGATTCCAATACAAGGATCATTATTTGGGTAGTTTTGTAAATAACTTCGAGAAAAAGTGGAGAGTTTTAACAGCGTCTTCCAGGAATTTCGTCGCGTGGTCTACTGCTTGGCATAATTGCTAAATTGATCCGCACACTGCCACGTTACATTCGTTCAGCGGAAAACTCAGGAAATGGCCTGCGCGCGATTTGCAACCCGCGTTTTTTGGCGGCAAAGTTAGAACAGGATTACACCGTAATACATAATTCCAAGAGTAGCTATGACCACGTTGGCAAAAAATGATGTTGTAAGTTCGAGAAGGTAGGATTTCAGTGGACAGAAATGGGAAAGTTAGCGAGAGAGAAGGAAAGAATGAAACGGCGAAGAGCGAGAGAAGTTGATGAAGGACACAAGAGCACATAAGAGGCTGACTAAGATATAGATAAAAGACATGGCACGGAAGAACACCACGACCAAGAACACCCTGCATTAAAAAGAAGAAAGATTTAATGAAGAGTAACGCGACGGAGAACAATTAAGGGAACGAGTGATAAGCAGAATCATCGTCAAAATATTGACAACGATTAACTAAAGAAGTAAGACTTTCAGAGCATGGAAGCGCTCGAAGTTTAAAAGTAAGCTTAAGAAGAAATGCAAGAATGGATGAGCGGGATGTATGCATTAAATGAGAAGGTAAATCACATTTTACGACGTTTTTTACCATTTTACCAACGACCTATGGCTTTTTCAGTTAGGCATCATAGTTTTGCTCCTAAGTATTTGCGCAGTCGTTGCTGGGAAAGGAGCTTAACTTTGAACCAATCGAATTGTCTAAGTTTGGGTCGGAATTTGAAGGAATTTCTGATTTCCGCTATTCTGTAGGTGCCCTCCACTTCAATGGTGTTAAACAAAATCACTTTCAGGGCTTGAAAATCTGGTTGTGCGAGTAAATCTCAATCATTTTAATATTTATCAGACTTGATTACAAACCCCCAGTCATGACTGTTTTTATTTATATTAATTGTATGCACAATATGTTGAAGATTGCAAACATTATTTCAATATTAATGACATACTTTGATTTAGATGGGAAAATATACATGATTTCTCCGGTTGCATGAAATTATTAAGTCATTACATTCTCTGAAAAATGTTTAATAATATGATCTGCTGATGAATTAAGCTTAAGGGTGCTCTTCACTCCTTGGCCGTGCTGCTCTAAAATGTGACTCCTCGTTCACAGCAGAAATTCAAAAAAGTAGACCAGAAAAGGTTTTCTTTAAATGGAGGGCTGGTATTGAATTAGTTTTCATCAATTTAGATGAAAACACATTTTCCTAATAGCTTGGAAATCTCTTCAGGATAATTTTATGTCATTGCCCACTCAGTTTTTTAGCCTTTTTTATAGGAAATCTGTTGATAAGCTGATGAAAAGAAATTTGTTTTTTTTAGGGGGGAGAGGAGGGAATTTATGCACTGGGTGATTCTGTACCCTGGCTGATTGTTTTTTTTCAGAATTGTGTATATATTTTCTTCAATCACCAATGTGGAGCATGGAATGTTGTTTAGTTTGTATTTAGGTACTCAGGCTCCTCAACTGACCTACAATTATATTCCTTTCACTTCATAAATGTTTTGTCTTTGGCATGATCCTTTCACAAAGAGAACTTTAATATGAGAAATAGCCCTTCCCATAAATCATCTGAGAACCTATATTTTTTTTATCCTCATAGTTGTAAGAATTACACCACTCAGCTTGGGTACTAGGTCTCCTATTTATCTTTTTCTTCTTGACCTACTAGAAACTCCAAGCAGTGATTGTTGTGCAAATTCTTGTTACCTTATTCCATACTCTTTCATGCTAACAGGTTGAGAGTAAGAAGAAAATTATCAAATAGCTGATATTTGATAGCATCAACATGAGCTTTTGTTATGTGGTTAGGGCAGATTTTTAGGACTTGGGGTGCAAAAAATGGTTCAAAATCTGTACTTTGCACATGAATGGGTCACAGGATTCTTTGTCTTTTCAATTGGGTAATCAAACAAATGCAACAAAGCACTCCCCAGTCCTAAAACAGGATTGAAATAACCTTTTTGATTATGGTTAGGGCAGATTTTGATGACAGGAATCAGGATTCTAGGGGCAAAATGGTTCAAAATCTGTACTCTGCACATGAATTGGTCACAGGGTTTTTTGCCTTTTTAAGTGGGTAATCAAGAAAATGCAACAAACCCTTCCCTAGCCGTAAAATGGTGAGTGCCCTCCCATTGTAATTGATTTTTCAATTTTTACCCTGCCTCTTCTTGCATTCCTAGGGTTTATATAGGGAAATTTCAATGTATTTGGGTGTATGATATATGCATATGATACACAGAGCAAGACAAGTATGCCTTAGCCTTATTGGTCACAAAATTAAAATTGTGGATATTATAGTCTAGTGTGCCATTCTTTACCCTTTTCTATGTGTTTTCTCAATTGCTGTCTCAAACAAAATCTAGTAAACTTTACCTCCAACTGTCTATTGAACCTGAAACGGAGGACTTTTTTCGCCCGACTTATTTCTTGCACTCGCTGTTTTTGTCCAAGAGCATGGTTCATACAGGTGTAAAACGGCCAAAAAAATAGTCGTGAGGGATGAAAATTGGCTAATGTTAGCCGTTAATCATAAAACAAGTTAACCATGAAAATGTTTCTGTTAATCACGAAATAAAGAAGTTAACCGTTAGCCGTAAAATAGCAAAACTGAATTTTAACCGATAGCGATAAAATAGCTAAAGATTTTAACAGTTAGCCGTAAAATCCATCACCCTCACTTGACGTTTGAGGGCTTGGTGCGTTTTGAATAACGCATTAAGAGACGTATTACATTTAAGTGACTATCACGTTAAATAGGCCAGAAAGCGCTACTTTTCGGTTTTCTCTCTAGTACTCCTCATTTTCAGGCTCCACTTTAACTCTGGAAACCATTCCTCAATTAAAAAAGTCCATCGTCTAGTGTCATAGTATTCAGGCATAGTTGGAAAGCACATTAGTTTGATATTTTTTTGTGTGTGAAGACAAATACCGTCAAACGTGACTTAGGGAAGGTATAATTTCGTGAGATGCAGCAGTTGTGACGTAACTCTGGCATTTACATAAATGCTAAGTGCAAATCATTTGCACTTGGCATTTGTGTAAATACGAGAGTTACAGAGTTATAAATGCAGTTAATAAATGTAAACTAACCGCAAGTACACTCCAAGTAAGAAACCTCTGCCATCGGTTGCTCGAAGGTTGGATAACACTATCACTGTATAGACCTCTATTCGGTGGATAGTGCAGTGGGGTTATGTTAACTCTTCTCCGCTGGATAGCGATTTATCCGTTAGATTGCGTCATTCAGCCTTCGAACAACCAGGGCCAGGTCTACAGCACTAAATAGCTTCATTCGGAGGTAACGTCACTGAGATGTCCAATGTCAGTCTAGAAGATGAAAACGAATGTTAACCGTTAATTTCCAGCTTTCATAATCAGTCTCCGGCCTGCACTAACTATGATCTGGGTAAGTGTAGTTTGGACGACTGAGTAGTGATGACCTAAAGAACCTGAACAAAGCGTTTGTCATACTTTGACTTACTTGACTCGCACGATGACTTCTGCTTTTGTTCAGGTTGTCCAGATGTCAGTCGCTGTCACAAACTACATGTCTTTTAGGAGAATATACTTTTAAAAGTGAATATTCTAAAAGCCATTGATTCTTCCAGCCTGGCTGATAACTGCTCCATTTATTAACAATACGGCAAAGGCAAGGCAGATTAACCTGAATTTTAATTAAACTGCCCCATTTGAAAGTTACATGTTCTAAGGAAGAACCTATTTATAAAAGCATCAGAGAAAGGTATAAAATTAAAACTAGTTGAAAACAGCCAAAAGCTTTAAAATAATTGTTAACAATTAATGAAATGTCCTGGGTCGCTTCTTAATCACAAATAACAATCATAGTACTTCTTGGTGGGTGTAACCTTCGTTTTATTTTCAAGCGCCCCTTGACACTTAACATAATTCATTAGGCTAATTACCTTTTAAAAAAGAGACCACGGTCGCCTGACTACCATTAAAACATTGTAAGAGCGCTTCGTGTGACCTCAACTAATCATTTCTACCGTTTAGTTGTTAGCACCCCTCTCCCATTATCTTGCATTTGCGCGCAGAAAAAAAATCACAAAATGCACGATAAAATTCCAGTTACTTAGTCAGATATTATGCCTATTCCTTTTCTTCTTTCTGAACGCTCTTCTATTTGTTTGATGATAAACAAATTCAAACGAAAGAATCTGTCGAAACTAAGATCTAAAGTTCGTTTATTTGAGCGAGTGGCAATGATTTCTGTTAAAGAACGAAAAATTGAGCGAATGAAACTGATGAGCGACCGTTCACAATCGGTCTAAGTTTAGAATCTTACGATTTCGTGCAGAAAGGTAGACTTCGAGTGGTCCTTTCCGCAAATTTTGGAGATCCCACTGTTTATTTTAATTCATTTCCTTCTGATTTATATCTCGTTTTATCAAGCTCACCATGAAGCCTTCATTTATGTAGCCTAAAAAATTCATTACAAGCCATTGATGTTACATGTACCCGCCTTCGATCACTTTTCATATTAACTGTGCTTGATTATCCCGCTTGAGTGGTTTTAGTTGTTGACCAGATTTCTGTTTTTCAATTTCTTTCGTGTGACCTGCCAGTAAGATATGATATATTCAAAGAACCATGACTGAGGTCCCAAATCGAAACTTTTAATGTCCAGTCCAAAGGCACGGTGTTTTAATTATAAACCGATGTTTTGACAACGTTTGAGCATGCCATTATTGACGAAGCAGTCACAACCATCATTACCTTGTTAATAGAACAAAGGCAATTTCTATGTCCCTGAAATAATTGCAACGCGACTTTCAAGTAAACTCTCATGAATCTATGTAATTCAGTTGTTCAGAATGTAAGCGAGTTTGCATCGTCTTATGATTTGATTGACATTATTTAACAGACTTGACTTGAAACAGAGCGACAAAACTGGAAATAAATTTGCGCGTAAAAATAAAACAATTGAAATCTCTAGAGATCTTTTGCACTTGCAAAGGGCTTATAATTTGGTTTGTGTCGTAATAACCATTCAAAACGTCGAAGCAAAACACTGTTCTTGCTTCAGATAATGGCTCATTAACACTCATCTTTTTTGGTATGATCTTTTTTCTATACGAATACTTTTGAAAGGTTTCGGGTATTTTCACTTAAGCTCGGTTTCCATGCCACGATTGTGCCAGATAATACTCAAGTGATCAGGACCAGAAGAAGACCAAACGATCTGACATGACCCGCACAATTAAAACGACCACAATGTTCTCGCTCTAACCTAGTTTGCGCCGAGCAAGGGTTAACTTGATCGCTCAGTCTGTCACAATCGTCAGGAAATTAATAGAGATCGGGACAATTCAGGAAATCTTACAGCGGCTAGGTCTTTGGACCCAAATACATAAAAACTATGCTAAATAAAAAGTTAACTTGTTTAAAATTAAAGGTACCTGCATCCATATCTCTTCAAAAATTACGTGCAAGAAGTGTATGTATCGGTATGGCCGTTTGACTTTGACATTAGTTCACCGCCTGATTTCCGTAAAAACTTGTAGATAACACGTAAGAAGGCAGTACGGAACTCCTTGTTAAAGCACGTGTAAATAATAGGGTTTGCTGCAGAATTGCTCACTGGTAAAACGTACACAAACACTATGACTAAAACTGTGACGCTTTCTGGCGGCAGACTTTCGAAGCACTCGAGGCAATATTGCCAAGTGATGAAAATCACAAAAAATGGAAACCACGAGAGAATAAAGACTCCCACCACAATTGCCAACGTTTTGGTGGCCTTGAGTTGCTTCATGATCTGTAGTCCTGACGAGCGTCGCGGTTTCGAATCAGTGAGCGGTTCACTACTCCGCTTCCCTATTGTTATTCCTCTATTGCTGGATGCGGGTGAGCTGGTGATTCCACTGGTATCTTCGTTGGCGTCCTGTTCAGCCAAAAAGTTCACGGCTATAGCATCCCTATCTTTCTGCACCTGTCTCGCGTGCTGAATGGCGATCTTCAAAACCAGGACGTAGTTGAAAATAAGAACGGTTAACGGGAAGAAGAACGCGGCAACGGCTAATATGGTAATATAGATTTTAGCCTGTATGGAGCATTGGGGTTTTATGATGATTGTTTCGTGTCCGCCCCACTTCACGAACGACAAACAGGCAACAACCAATGCGAAGACCCAGACTATTACAATAATCAAAGTAGCTCGCTTGGTGGTCATGTTCTCGTGGTACGTAAGCGGCCATTTTACAGCAAGGAGTCGATCGAAGCTGATTCCTGTTAGATTCAGTATAGAGGCACCACAGCATACCATGTCGATCCAAATCCAGTACTGGCAGCCAGCGGGACCCAGACTTTTTGGCCAGTTCTCCTGGTTTATCGTCTGTGCGATTCTGAAGGGCAGCGACAAAGATCCCACCAGCAGGTCACTTACCGCGAGAGACACAATTAAGAAATTGGTGGGCCTGCGAAGGCGAGGGAAGTAATAAACACTGAGGCAAACAAGAGAGTTTCCAACTATGGTTAGTACCATGACAATCGTGTTAAATGTCGCTGAGGCAATGATGCTGGCTTGGGAATGTGATCGGGGTGATGCAGTAGAACTTGCAGGAGTAGTGAAGTTTTCCGTAAAATTCATGCTGGTTAAAGACATCTGTCAGCGCGAGTTTTCCACCTCGTCCAACCACCTGGTAGTCGTTGTTTTCACTGTGGAAAGAAAACGCGGTTCATGTTAATTTTGATGAAAATAAGTCACTTTGAAATACGAAACAAAGACCTTTGCGTTTGTATGTCGCGATTATCATGGGAACAAAAGGATCAACTGATTTCACTTTGCAAATGAAGTGTGGACGATCGTTATCCTAAGCATACCGTGACCATTTTTCGACTATAATACTTTTTTGCCAAAAAAATAATGGTTTTCCGCGGAATACTTGTATTCTAAAGCAAGACTTACCTATTGCCAGTTGGGTAAACTGTGTTATCGTCTATCCGCTCAAATTAACTTTAAGTTGTCACCGAAACCTCTGTTTGTGGTACAAAAATGAAAATTGTTATTATACCAGCATGCATGATCATTAGGTATGCTTTCAGTGTTCTTATCTTTAGAATCCAGAAGGTGGTCTTCAATTTTAGCAAACGGTGAAGCTTTTGAAATATCGCCACTTTGCCACGGGGAAAAAAGAAAGTACCGATTCAAGAGAATGGATTATATTTGCTATCTCGTGGGGATTGGCTCAACTTCGTATTAGTCGCACGTTCTCTATGATTTCTTTCTTTGTTTTAGTTGAAAGGCGAGATTAGATTCGCATGAATGAAATTAATTTTTTTTTTCGATAATCGAATGAAAACAAATCGGTCTTTTTAGACGTAGGCGTTGCGAAATTGACGTCGAGATATTGTGCCCAGGTCGAAACGGAGCGGATTATGAGAGAAACTCTTATTAGTTTACCGGCAAAACAACAAAATCCATCTGCAATTCAAGATAGCGAATTGCGATCAGCGACTTATTAATTTTTCTTTTTTTTATTCTTTGTTATTTAGTCGACCGCTATGCTAGCCTAAGCGCTGTTTACTTAAGTTGATGTCATGTAGGCGGAACAAGACTTTTTGTCGCCGATTTTTTGAATCAACATTTTGAATTTGGAGCTAATTTAATGTTTTATTTTTCAATTCCAAGTCGATTTCTGAAGATCTACAAGTAGAAAGGCTCTTTTCTCCCGGCAGGGAAGTTTTGATAATATTAGCAAACTGAATCTTTGTTTTGAAATGAAGGAAATAAGGCGTGGCGGACTCTGTACACCAGAGGCGTTTTTAAGTTTAGTTTTTCTTTTCCAAAGGCATAGTTTTCAACAGTAAATTTTAAGTCAGAGGTAAGTTGACACGAAACTTCTGTTTTTTTTTCCTTTTTCGAGGTTTAGATAATTTCAAGTTCTTTACATTCCCAATCCGATTGTTGTCTAAGAAATAAAAAAAGCGCAGGTTTTTTCCTGCAAAATGATACGATTCTCTCCCGAGAATTAGTCCTTTCTGCGTAACCTGATTGTATTTTTATTTCATTGTTATCATCATAAGAATTATCATTTTCTTTTCTTTTTTTCTGACAGTAGTTTGTCGGTCCTCTCTCTCTAAGACTACAACACACGGGTAAAAGTGATGCGTTTTGCGAAAATGATGTACAGACGAAAACAAAATATTGCCATTTGGTTGTTTGATTATTCTCGAACATGACAGAAGTCGTTTGCCCTGAGGGGATGGATTCAATTTCTTACGAACGTAATTGGAAATTTTTTTGACAAGAGAAGAAAAACACTCTAACCAAAAACAATTTAGTGGTTTATATGTTACTAGATGGACTAATATTACACTCTTCTTATATCTGGAATGAAATCTTTACTCTTTAACAACTTGAAAGGGGTTATTTTTCTAGAAAGCGATATTTTTATTCATTTTATCGCGAGTAAAAATTAAATGAAAGAGTTGAAATCTTAGTATCATGCCGTTTTATGAGATCTACCTTACGTAAAAATGTAAATTATGTGTTGTTGTTAACCTTTGCTTCATGTAAACCTGGGCGGTACACGGTACTTAAAGTTAATAAACAAAACTCTGACTGAACAGTTTAAGGGGTGCTTTTTTCGCGCGTTTTAGGCATGTACTAGGCGATTTTCGGAGTTAGGCTATTTATCTTTGTACCCAGTTAAGGTTTTCCAGGAGAATGGCTCTTTTTTAGCTCATTTCATAGACTATAGCTGAAAAAGCAGGTGCGCCTTCGACCTCTCAAACTTTCTCAGATTTCAGTCAACAAGGCCCGTTTCGTGCTCACAGTTTTGAATGTATTGCGTAAACTGTACATATTTTTCTGCCCTCTAACCGCGAATTCGAGAGGTTTTCATTCTTATTTGATGAAATCTAAATTAGCAAAGATGTTAGAACCGATAAGTGGCGTTAGACGAAATCCAATCTTTGCTCCGACAGACATTTCGCAACGCCGACCAAGGTTTTTGCTGGATGGGTAGGTTACTTTAGAAACAACATCATAATGTAAATCCTGTGCGACAAATGGTAATTTGTTTACCTTTGGCCACAATTTCGCTTAAAATGGTTCTTAACCGAAACATAACATTTCAGATATTAACAGCCCTTAGAAACTCTGAAATAGAAGCCAGCCAGGGAATGAAGATTTTGGGAGCAACGGCTAAATCTCTACACATAATATGGTTGCCTTGATTGCCAGTTTCAATTAAGTTGTCAACCACTTAGTTCAGGTTGTAGTATTTTGCTTCTTTTGTGGCCCAAACTTGGCCAGCTGAATTCTATGTAGTCATTCGAATAATATTTTGGTCGCCAAAAGGTAGGTTGATCAAGTTTCCTGGGAGAAAAATCGCTTATTCCTTTCATCAAACTAAAAGACGATGTGACACGACTATGCTATTGAGTTCGTGTTGCTCTCTGTGACGAAGTCACGAAAACATTTACAATGACAGTTTCACTCTAGAAGCTCAAACTGTCTTTCAACACAGCCAGGGCAGTGTGGTTTCTCTGGTAGTAAACACATACAGAGTAGTTAAACGGTAAATTACAAGTGATTGCGCAAACCGATATTTGACTGGCTGTTCAGGACATGTGTTAAACAGTCGAATTGAAGTTCAATCGTAATAACATCGACGTGCGAGAAATTCTCGTACCTTTTACGGGCAAAGATGTGCTCCAGGAGTTTTTCTTCGAGGAAAAGATGTACGATGTAGTTGTTCACGTGCCAGGCTATGGTTGAGAATATTTTGGGTACGAGATAGCTCTCGTGGATCTTGACTTGGCTGCTTTTGAAAACTAATAACCGAATCATAAGGAGCATATGGGATTGTTCTCATAATTCACACTGGCAAAATGAACACACTCATCAACCACACGTCAAAGGAAAAGTAAACCGATCATATCAATCTTAAGCTATTTTTAGGGTGTTGTCAAGCATGACATTAGTTTCACTTCCTCGGTTGCACGACAGGTTTTTTACTTCCATTAATGCAGCCGAAATGAATGACAAATTGTTTTTTTCGCAAATATCTACTATCGGGTGAGAAAGTTCCCCGCCTACCTCGGTTTTGCGGAACGACTTTAATCCCACTTCGATTATGACATTTCGAATCGCCGGAATCAGTTACCAGGAAAGATGTAATCCTGCTGATCTCATAAACTGAATGTTTGGTGACTCGTTGTGCTACATGCTAAATTACTCACGCCGTTGTTTTGAGGATTTTTCTTTGGATACAGCCAAAGTACACCTGCTTCAAAGTTTGTATTTTGGTGTGTGTGGAAGTAAAACAAGCCATTGGGTAATGATTTCGCCCTTTTAGCTTTCGAAGTGCATCCTGTCTTTGTATGCAACGGAGACACAACCTATAACGTCAATTAACCTCCCTGATTGGCAACTCTTTGTAAGTCGAGCCGCTAGTTATGCTATCTATATGTTAATTAGTCGCAAGTGGCGGATATAGATTTTAATACAAATGAAATGTTCGTTCATTTGTGCTCTAATGCTTTAAATAGAAATCTATAACTTGACGCATTTGTCGAGGAATCGGCAAATAAATATAATACACTAGAATCTGACTTAGTTGAAGTGATTTTTATACTTATAGTGGTTTACATATATTTCCCCTTTTTTTTCTGCTCTTTTTCCGTACATCTTTTACTTCACGAAATTCCGTTTTGAAATTTGCATTCTTTCGTTTTATCTTTCTTGTAACTTATTGGCATTTAAACTATTTTAATCTATGACCCTTTGATAGCTTTTGAAGATTTTTAATTAGATTGCCGCATCTTTTTAAAATTCTTAGATTGCTCCTTATGCGCGAAAACACAAAATATCTCAGTAGCTCGGTGGTCGCCGTTTTATCTTATTTTCAGTCGGTTCTTAATAGGTCTTGCCTTTATCATTTGATACCCTTTGGCAAATTTTGTTTCACTGCCCCCGCAGTTTGCACCTTTGAAAATTACCTATTAGCCGCAAATCGAAAACTGATGATAGAATGAGAGTTTTTCGTTCAGTGAGTTGTCCTTTAAATCTTTCTTTTTTTCGTTTTTCCTTTTTTTAAAAGATGCAGAGAATATTTAATGTTCATTTGAATAACTTGTAACTTCCTAGATGATTTTATCAACTTCTTCTCCTGTACAATGCAGTGATTTGTATTAAGTTCAATCCGCGGCTCACCACTTATCGCATCGGGTCGGTGAAGTTAAAGTTGAAGGCGCATTGTTTATCAAACAGACAGAGGCCTTCATTGCATCCCTTCGCCAACGCGGAAATTTTGATTATCGAAGGAACATGTTTTCTCAGTGTGAAAATTCTCCAGCGTCCCCGATTTTCTTGCGATAATTTCCTTTCCAATTGCGTTTTACCTTTCAGGCTTTTTGATAGTTTATCTTCTTCTATCACGAGATTAACGTCCATAAATTTTGATTTTTACCTCGAAGGTATGATTTAACAATTCTATATTAAAATAACTGCTCTTTCCAGATTTGATTTTTCGTGCAAACATTGAACATTAAACTGTATTGTCTCTGAAATTTTGTCCTCCTTCTGTTTTTAGAAGTAAAATTTGACTTTATGTGTTAGTTTTGACTGCATCGAAATACTTTTTTATGGAGAGAAATACTTTCGTATTTGAATTTTTTAAACTAGTTCTCTTTCACTAATGTAGCGATGAATTAACAACCGATTATAAGTGCAGAACGAATTAGATTAATAACCAAAGTATTTCCTCAAATTTACGGAATATAAAATTAAGAGAAAAATATAATTCGTCATGTCACTACCCCAGTACAAAGAACAAATCTGAGTTCTCCACGAGGACTCAAACCCTAGACCTTCGGATTCTGCGATGCAGTACTCAGTCATTGGCATAATAACTATATGGTAAACTAAGCCATTACCAACTTTAGATGCGAACTTTATCTCAGTTTTTTTTTGTCAGAACTTTGTCCCTCGCTCGTGAAAAGACGAGTAACTCTTTATTCTGTTCCACTA